TATGACTTTCACTATATATATATGTATATATATAATGTTAATTAAGAAACTATTTTGTAAAAGTGGGTGGGACCCACCCTTATTATTTACTTCATGTGATCAAGGGTCATTTCCTGACCCATTTTGTTTCAATCAACTCTCTCTCTCTCTCGCGACCTGCTCTCTCTCTCCTTTCCGCCTTTTATTTATTTATTTATTTTCCTTTTACAAAAGCTTAGATTATAGCCACACCATTGGGAATTTTTGAGTGCCGTTTGCGGCAAATCGAAGAGCTTAGCGAGATCTTTAAGTGGGTGTAAGCAATTTCAGTTTTGGTGCACTCTAGGGATTTCAAATTTTTGGCTCACTTTAGGGATTTTGCATCTAAGTAAGGTAGGAGTGTTTAATCCACAATCTCTTAGATTTTGGTGAATTATTTTTCATAATTTGTATTATAATATGCTCAATTGGTGTATATTTCATGCAATATTTGTTATGTGTTGTATATGAGATGTGTATATATATGTTAGTTGTTATGTGATAAAGAACCATGTTAAAGTGATGTTAAATTTCATGCCTATTGTGCTTTAAAATGCTGAATTTTAAGATTTTGAAGCATGATGTAAATTTCTATGAGGCATGCATATTGTAAATATTTGACTTGTAAGGAATAAAAATTTCTTTATTGGCATGGCATTGAAATGCATAAGACATATATGCATTCATTGGGAAAAGAATGGGAAAAGAATGATTTGAAAGAAATGAAATGGATTTCTGGAAAGAGGTTTTGAAGAGGATTTTTTATTTTTGCGAAAACCCGGTCGCCTAGGGGTTACCTAAGGGCCGTGGTGTTAGTGAGGCCTAAAAGGGATTAGGGAGATTTCCTTAGTGTGGTTGAGTTACCTGGACCCAAATGACGCCACAGGGTTACTATGGGTCAGGGATAGTAGCCAATCCTCCTCTCGTACCGCCATGGGGTCACCATGGGACGGGTTTCACTAATAGTTTGGAAATAATGATGGAAATGGTTTTAGAAAATGGGGAGCGACATTGCACCCACTGCACGGCATATCCATTCATGGCTTGGTTTATAAATGTGATATTGTGGTTATTTTTTCCCGGCATAGCATGACCTCAATTACTTTGTTTCTATTTATTGTTTGGATTCACGGAGTCTCAAAAGGTATGCGTTAGGCACCTCCTACTGAGCTTTAAGCTCACCCTATTATTTAACATTTTTTTCAGGTCACGGAAAAGAAGTGGCGAATGACTTTCCATCATAGGCCCCGTATGGGTTAGAAGATTCTTTTACTATTTTTGTATCTAAGTCTCACTATTTTTATAAAACTTAGCATATTGTATTATGTACTGAGACTTATGGCCTCTTGTTATTGTAATTATATTCATGGGCTGTAACTTTAATATAAGTTGTCTAAACGTTGTAAGACATGGACTTTTGATCTTAATTATAATTTTGGGACTGTAATTGTGATATTTGGATTAGATGGCATGTAGTTGTTCCACCATGAGCTGAACTATGTTGAAGCATAATGAATAGATGAAAGGAATGTCGAAATGTATTATTTGCATTGTGTACTGGGACAGGTTTAATAAAATTTGAAGGTCCAATAGAGGCCATTGCATTTTTATGCATTCAAGCCGGTTGTTGTAGGACCCCTTTTTAGCAGAGGTCATGCCGATTTTATTTATTTATTTTATAATTAGTATCATTTTAGGGTCATTACAGATTTCCTCGCTGGGTTTGAATTCGTTTGATGGGTAACTCTTCATTTTCATGGTTGAATGTTGGATAGGTGATATTGATGGAGAGTAATTGTTTATTTATTGTTATTGATGAGACAATATACTGTCATGTATGAGGTTGTGGAGGTATTTGCTGTAGACGGAGTATGAGGGTTTGTTTTTCCTCTTTTTGAAGTTTTTCTTAGTGTGATCTAGTGCAAAATATATATGAGCTATCAATTTTATTACAGATTAAAAGAGGAGGAGGAGGGAAGTCTTAATATCCAATAAAATGATACTCAAGAAGGGATTTGATGGTGTAAACTTAGTTGATCGGGAAATTATTGATTGACAGAATAGTAAATTTGAATTTGATAAAAGAAAAGACTTTAACTCTTAACCGTGTTGAACTATGAGAGAGAACGTACACAATTTCTTTAAAGAATCTGACGTGGATTGAGTCACGTCAAATTCGGTTTTTCATTCGGTGATAAAGTTCGGACCCACTATCATTTTCCTATTGAATATTATGACTCGTGTAATGAGGAGAGAGGAGAGAGTAAAAAATGGATGACAAAGGATAATTTTTTTTTGGTCACGTAAGAGCATCTGCTGAAAGCCATTTTCGCATGCCAAAACTATATTTTCACCGGTGCTATAGTGTCAAAATGCTACATTTTAGCAATTCTGCTCCAATGGTGCATTTCATGTAAAATGCTATTTTTTGACACAACCACCATTCTTTTTCAATCACCATTTCCACCATTCATATTTGCATCAGTAATATTAATATTAGGTACATTACAAATCCAATTGTAGACATTAAAAGGAAACTAAAATTAAACCTAATTAAAAAGAAACAAAAATTTAAAATATCTGGTCAAAAAAGGAACAATATATATATATATATATATATATATATATATATATATATATGTATAAATTTATATATTTGATTATATTATTATATAATTTTTTTTTTCGAAAATTCATATATATTATATATATGTATATTATATATATTTGATTATATTATTATTAAAAATATATATATTTTTAGGGAAAATCATTTCAGCTTCCCCAGTCGCCTCCATCTCTATTATCTTGTTCTTAACTCTGAAATTGCCGCCACTCTCTTTCTGTGCAACTACAAACTACAAAATTAACAAGAATCGGAAGTTCAAAACCCATATCTTTCAGTTTCCATCGCCCGCTGTTCCAGTTCGGGTTCGCAGTTTGCAAGCTTCAGCCGCTGTCTTTCAACTCTCAAGCTTGCCCCTCTATCTCTCTGCAACTCGCAAACTTGCCCTAAATTGCAATTGGAGGAAACGAAGATATGATCTAATGGCCAGGAACCGTCAAGATCAAGATCGAGGTCCATCAGTAACCCTTTTTTCGTCATTGATTTTCTTCCTCTGGTTCAGATCGGATGATTTTCCAGTAACTTTTCTCTCTCTATATTGCAACAGACAAGGAGAGAGAGAGATGCGAGTTTTAGATTGTGATTCCAAACAGCATCATATTGGGAAATGAGAGACTTGCCAAAAAAATTTGGCAGCTACTACATGTGAGAGGAGATTTGAGAATCTCAAAATTTGAGAGCCTATTAGAGAGGGCTTTTTTTACCCAACTCTTATATTTTGAATTTGAGAGCTCAAATGAGAGAGCATTGGAGATGCTCTAAGATCTCTCTATTGATTGAGGTCTAATAATAATAGAAGGGAATAAAATTTTTAGAAATAAGGTTTAACACCAAGTAAAGATCAAGGCCTATAAATGCATCGCGGAAAGAAAGAGAAAAATGAGGGTCAAGATTTAATTTTTGAAAAAGTAAGGAAGTGGAAGTAGGGGCAGAGTCAAGATTGCAAAGTGGGGGATAAAAAAATTTGAAGATGAACACAATAAAAGTTGTGAAATATTAGACAATTTTCTTATAAAAATGAGATGTGGTAAGGGGATACTGTATTCAATATGGTTTTAATTCCATGTCTTAATAACTATATCATGAAATGGATCATTTTTTACCAAAGATTCAATCCGAAAGGACCTAGAGACCTAATTTATTAAGTTTAGATCTTAACTTAAAATCAGGAATAAGAACATATTTGTTATCCACCATCAAAGTACCCATTGGAATTTGTTTTCCGGGTAAAAATAAAATAACAAATTTTCCAATTGAATCTTTAACATCCATTCAACTATTAGTTTATAAAGGTGCTCAAATTTTGAAATAATTATGTCCATGTTCTAGGGAATATGGGTTTATATCCTAATTTGAATGAAAAGTTAGATGTTTCCTCACTTTCTAGTAGTTGTATACTTTTTGAATTGTAGTTTCTAATTAACATAATTTTTGCTCTTGCTTAAAGGGGAAGATCAAAGATAAACACAGGAACAGTTCGAGGAAAAATGATAGTAGCAGCATGTAACCCAGATAAACACACAAATAGTTGTGCTGATAGGAAAATGAAGAGTAGTACTAAAAATTTATTACTGGACTTATAGGAACAGTAGCACTATTTTTTTTTAATTGGACCTGGGCTATAGCATAGGTTAGCCCATTAATAATTCCACCCCTAGGCAGAAGGCTTTTTTTTTTTTTTTTTGAACGGTATCAATGAATTTTCAAAAATAATTTTTTTAGGGAGATTATAACATATAAGGAAAATGAAAAAAAAAATTGGAGCCTTCTTATTGGCTGGACCCTTAGACGACTGTTTAAGTCGCCTAAGTGTCACGGACTTGGACCGCGTTTGCGTGGCGCCTGCGTGGCGTAGCCTCTTGGTTGAGGGGTGTGACATAAGCCTCCAGTCGGCTCTGACCCCTCGGTCTTTTAACCGTTTAATATAATGATGGGGTTTACTTGATGAATGACTCAAGCACTGTGACGTTTTGTGTACTATACTCTAGAATACCATAGAACTTTTAGAGGGCGTGGAGACCAAAGTTAGAATTGAGAACCAAAGTGGAGAGAGAAGTTGCTAAATGAGAACAACAATTACATGCTATCCTTCCCAGTAAAAACTCTCTATTATTTTTTATAATAGAAGTGAGAGGTTTTGAAAAGAAGCCAGGAGTTTTCATTAGGAGAATACTTTCTCCAATTTTCTTATTATATTTGTTCTCTAATCCAAAGCGCGCTTCTCATCAAACAATTACAGTTACTGGGCCTTATTTTTTACTCAATGGACCACTTTTATCTTGTGAACTGAAACAGGCAGAACATATAATCTTTGCATCAACTAAACCCAATCAGAATCTAAAGGCCATCCCATTCATATTTGACACAGTCTTGGGCCCAATCTAATACAACAACCCTTCCATTTCGCGGCAACGAAGAAAGAGCTACCGAGTACACTAACCATGCCAATGCCCAATTAGGGCACAGATCGAACCATTGTCTCGTGAAAGAGAACCAGCGAAAGAAAAACGCGAGAGCATAGATTAGGGTTCCGAATTCGAGCTGCGATGTCTGGTTCCGATAGTCGACATGAAAACGATGGCGATAGATACTCCAGCAAAGGAGGCGATCAAGGTCATGGAGGATCGTCAACTTACGATTCTTTCGAAGATCGAAGTTCGCACTATCACAAGGTCTTTCATTTTTTTTTTCCTTCATTGTTTGATTAAAATAGGATTAAAAGATTGAATTATTGGTTTACAAACCTTTTAACGATGATTTGTATCAGTGATTCAAACCAATGGGTTATAGGTTTTATATGAATTTAGAATGCTGTTGTTATGATCTTTGTGTTCGAGTTGGTGAATTGTTTAGTTTATTTTATCAAAATGATGGGAAAATGAGAATTAAAAACTTGGTAAATTGTACATGGTATATATATATAAATTTGACACTTTTGATTTGTTGTGTGAAGAAGATAGCTAAGAGAGGAGCCACATTGAGGGTTATTAAAAAATTTCCATTCTAAGTTATCCAACCAAAAAGAAATTCATTATCAAATTATCTAGTTTCATTTGTTCTCAATTTGGATATACATAAAAATGAGAATGATCTACAATCTTAATTTTTAACAGGAACTTGTGCAAGGTTTAGAAAGAAATTCCATAAAAAAGTGTTGTGCTGGCACTTTTGAAATTAGGATGAATGTTGATGATCTTTTGTTTTGAAGGGATTGGAAAATAAGGAGCAACATCATTCTGCATGTGAAGCTTTGACTGAAGTTCCTTTTTTACAGCATTGCTCAAAGAAAAAAGGCATTTTTTTACATTAAGAGAGGAAGTTGGTTGTTTTTAAAAGCGGGCACTGCTTCTCTTGGTGTATCTCTATCAATTAGCGTACTTTATGATGAATGTAAATGAACTTATAAAGCATGTGAAGCAATAAATTCATTTTTACACTGGAGCCACTTGGACAAATGGAACGATCATTTAATTATCAGTCTCATCACCTCAAGTGCTTGTCGGAATGTAGAGACAACATCGTTTCATATAATTCTAAAACAGTCATTATACGAGTAGCTAAATGGACTTGTTTATGTTATGAAAATACAGTTTTCTTTTCCTAATAATTGCTACTGAAGCATACTAGAATTGTAAATGGTCTACTCGTGTGATGTCTTAGTGCTGGCAATTGATTCCTATCGAAGCCGTTGTCCAAAGAAATTGGTAGTTATGATATTAGACTTATTAGTTACTAAGAAAATATTTCTTTTAAGCGACTTTAATCTTTTCTGTGCTCCTTTTATTTTATTTTTTTTGTTGTTGATTATTTCCTTTTGTGAAGTGTATATCCTCATTTCTCTTACTCTTTGTGTTTTGAGGATCTTGGTTATGTATGCACACTAAAATTTTGACTATGTTTAATTATCTCAGAGTAGATCTCGTGAATCAGACCACAAGAGGTTGAGGACTAGAGAAAGGGATCAAGACAGGTACAACAGTCGAGATGTCCGTAATAGGGACTACAAGGGGAGAATTGCGAGAAATAATAGAGGAAGGGACACAAATAGGGATCATGGCCATCCTAGGGACCGTGCTTATGACAGGTGACAGATTATTTTATGCTCATTGCCTTTGCCTTTTGTCATAGTTTGTCATTTCCTTGAAGCAGTGAGTTTCTTTACATCATTTTGTTGTTAAAACCATATACCATTTTTTTTTCCTTCTGGTCTGATATGTTGCTTAGCTGTTCCATGGAGGATTTCTCATAGAGTGCTTAGAGAAGAGGAAGAAGAAGAAAGGATTCTGTCGGTGGCTGGCTGTTTGGAATTGATGTATATTTATCATAGTTGTTAAAGGTCCAAGGCGCACTAAGGCGCCAAAGGTCTTCTGGAGCACAACTTCCTTGTTGTCATGCAAATCTTGTGGGAGTCAATTCCATGGAGAGCAGTGCGGAGGACAAAAGCCCCTCTTAAGGTGGCTTTCTTTGGGTGGACAGTGGTGTTGGAAGTATTTTGACGTTGGATAATTTCAAGTAGAGGCGTCAAATTGTTGTCAATTAGTGTTGCATGTGCAAGCATGATGAAGGTGTATGAAGAGGAGGCATTGTGATTTTTCTACGAAATTGTTGTCAATTGTTATCCATTGTGATTTTTCTACGAAATTACTTCTAAAAAAACTAGGTTTAAGGTAGACAACTTTTAAAAGTATCTTTCTTTAACCTGAACTTCATCTGGGCACCATTATAACATCTAATTTTTTTGGTTGGTGAATTGCACTGAGTAAGTTGGAATGTAACAGCTAGAGTAGCAGTGCGGCAGCTAAGGTGCATGGAGAGGAGGCATTACGTCTTCCATTCACCTTGCTTCTGCATTTTATATGGTGTATTTTATACAATTTTGTCTTGGAAGTTCTGATAAATAGCTGTTACTTTTGCAGGCACCATGAATATGATCAAAACAGAGAAAGGCGTCGTAGCCATAGATCACGTTCCCGATCAAAGGATAGATCAAAGGAGCGATCTAGATCTCGCTCTCCCTTGAAAAGGTCTTGAATAGCTTGATTTTAAGCATCTTCAATCTCTTTGATTATGATTCTTTTCTTTTTCTTTTTTTTTTTTTTCTTTTTTTTTTTTTTTTTCTATTTTTATTTATCTTGGCATGCTTTTTGTTTTCTACATTAGATCGGATATGTTTCATGTAGACATCAGGTTACAGATAAATATCAGCATACAAAAGCTATAATTTTACATTGTTTTCTTAATAAACAGATTGCTATAGTAGCAGTTTATTCACTTAGACCAATGACAATAGTGTTTTTACTCATTGATGTGTTTGATTTTTTTTTTTTGGATTGTCAACCTTATTGGTATTATTTGCTAACAAACATATGGGGGAAGTGCAAAAAACACCTGAAGTATACTTTTTATAGCACTTTTGCCCTCTATTTAAAAAGGTGTGCAAAAAACACCCCTATTCTTTTCAATTTGTGCAAAAACACCCCTCAATTAATATACTACCCATTTTACCCTTTTACTCTTCCAAAAATACCCCTACCTAACCTTACTCTCCACCCCAAAATCACAGCCTCCTTCATTGCCGTGGAGTGCCGCACCACCGTTGGAGACCATAACAGGTCTTGATGCACCGGTGATGAACTGGGTCTCGAAATCCCAGGATTGATTTTGTTCAAACGAATTCAGATTTGGATGTGTAGTTATATGTGTCGCAAAGGTAGGGAAGTCTTTAAAGGAATGGACCAACCTCCAGACTTCAACTTCAGTATCTTGGTCTGGAACGGTTGTCCAAATTCCAGAAGGGTTTAAAGCTACCACCGGTTATTGCTGATTTTTGGTCTAACTGTGAGAATTTGAGTGGGTGAAAGATTGGAATCTACAAAAGCATGGAAATCCTCCATGGAGTACCAATTTGAGGAAAAATTCAGAACAGAGCCTCCGAACCAGTCACGGCAGCCATCACCGTTCCCAAATCCCCACTCGCTGGCTGCCGTCAGTTAGCCGAAGTTGTGTCTCTGCTGTTCAGTCCTCGCTGGCCAGATGTCCACAACCACTGCACCAGCCGTCGCTCACCGCTGCACCAGTGAGATAAAGATGTTAATAAAACAAAATATACCTATACAAATAATGATCTTCCACATGCCATGGAAACATACTAAATAGCATTCCAATGTAAAGCATGGGATCTGTTATTCCCTGGAACAAACAGGAGTTATGGCTAAGCTCAAACCATAAGGTTTAAATATAAATTGAGAATCTTTGCACTAAGGGCTTTGTAATTGTTACATTACCGGAATTGCAGTTTCCAGCGAAAGCAATGTAAATTTGGGCGGCCGTGGTAGTGTCTGATATTAAAGCAACAAAGAGAAAACAAATAAGATAATTGAAAGAAATAAAAGACCGACAGAGAGAGAGAGAGAGTATACAGATGCAGTCACAGAGATGTACTATCGGATCCTGATAATCAATTGAAGCCACAAACCCCTCCATCGCCGGTCAGATCATACATCGTCAAGCCAAGCTCATCCAGCCCATCACCGGAATAGCGACATTTTTAGTCGCTGCTGTCACCGCCGGGCCATTCCTCCACCGTCTGCTCACTGCCATCACCACATCACCAAGGTTGCCTTCCTCCAAGTTCTCTGCACCGTCGGTTTGTCTCGCCAGATCCTTGTCGCCGCTGTGCTAGTCCTCCATCTTTGGCCACCGTTCAGTACATTTTTCACCTGAATTTGTTGGGTCGCCACCTAAATCCTTGCTGATCGTTGCCCCGTTGCTTTCTCTGGTAGCCGCCGTGAAACTCTCTTTTTTGGGTTTTTTTGTTCTTTTTACCGGCCCTTTTTAGTCATTTCATAAAATATTAATTTCTTATATATATTATTAAATGGGTAGCTAAGGGCATTTTAGTCATAAATGTGTGAGTAGGACCTATTTGCACAAATGTCATAGCGTGGTTCTTTTTGGACTGTTTACAATTGCTGGTGGTTTCTCTTCTTCTTTCTTTTAAAAACCTTTTGATTCCACAACTCTGTTGATCAGCTTTGTAAATTTGGTGATCATTTTTGTGAACAAATGCTACCTTTCACTTTTAAGGGGAAGTATATTGATGAAATGGTACTTATATATCACATATAGATTATTGATGACGGCAAGCCTTTGCTATGAATCCTAAAGCTAAAGCTGTTCTTTTCAAGTCACTGTTCAATTGGAGTTGATCTTCTTGTTCTTCTGGAGACTTTACTTGACTATCCCCTTTTAGATATTTTTGACATATTCTATGCTTTGTAGTTTGATTTGAGCATTGGGGGGTCATTGCTGGGCGCAATGGTAAAATATTCAGTTGCCAATTGTGAGAACTCAGATCGAGTTTTCAAAAATCACATTCTCTCTCTACATACAAAGTTTATTATATATTCAAGAAACAACTAAAAATGTCCATTGGTTAATTGCCAAAAGATACACTCATCCCAAAAGTCGTGGACCTTCCAAAAGATGCGCTCTTTCTCTATGTCTAACTATATTTGGGTATGTCTAACTATATATACCCAATCTATTCATGTATAAAAAAACAATAAAAAAATGTTGATAATTTATTTATTTATTTTCTTTAAAGTAAAATTTCGTTCAAAGCGCTCAAAAGGGGAGTACTCCCAAGAACAAACACAAAAAGCCAACAAGGGACAGCTATAATCTCAGGCTATCCACAAAATCCAAAAAATCCCCCATTAATTTACAATTGAAACCGTTGTTGTCATTCTTACCCATTAGGCATCTTCTTTTCTTGCTTTGTTTTCTGACCATATATTGGTAGATCTATTTTAATAAGTTTTCTGATTTATTTCAAAGATTGAGGGCGGGTCTTGGCGCAACGTTAAGGTTGCTCCATTGTGACTTGGAGGCCATGTGTTCGAAATGAGAAATAGCCTCTTCGAATACCGAGGTAAGGTTGCGTATATGTGACCCTCCCAAATGCCACAATGGCAGGAGCTTCGTGCAGTTAGGTGGCTTCCCCACGGAAAAGGTCCGCTGTCACCTAAGAGACTGCAATTAGCCTATCGGATAGAACTATTTATGAGGACGTGACTACAGTAAAGAAATCATTCATAAAGATCCGCCCTGGTACACATGCTCACTGCTTTTTTGGGGCAGGCTAGTCCTTTTTTATTTTCTTCATAGATTTCGCTGAATTTCTCTTTAGTCATTTTTTTCCCCCCTTAAAACGTCCATTGCACATGAATTTTACTAGTAGAATAGAATTGTGGCTAGAGATGTTATTAGACTTCAAAGTTTTTCATTGATTAGTTTTGTTGTGGATGAAACAAGTTAGTAAACTAAAAAGCCATTCATTAATTAGTTTTGGTTATGGATGGAAATGGATTAGTATACCGAAAAGTCTTTCATTAATGAGTTTTTGTTGATTTAAAATTCTCGAGTGGAGAGAAGGTTATGAAAATGCAAATAAAACAGTAAAATAGACCAATAGATATTGAAAGAGATTAATTATTCACTAGAAAGTAAAATTTCTATTCCATTTATATAGTATATATGTGGATAGATTGATAGATATATATTTAGATGGATAGAAATATATATGTGAGTGTGTGTGTGTGCGCGCGCTTTGATATTGCTAAATAAAGTTGATGCTTTTATGGTAAGTTTCCTCCATTTATTGTGCTTAAATTTGCCAATTCTTGTATCAATGGGCCATTATAGCCCAATGGTATAACCTGTCTTTCCTCAAAGGGGAGAAAAATTAAAAAATTTGCCAATCCTTTCGCCAAGGTCTGGCACTCTGGCTGGCTTGCAGAAATGGCGTGAGCCCCTTCTCAAGTTCTGGGAATCTTAGGCTCTTCATTTGCCTAGAAAAGATAGAAGCGTGAAGCTATATAGTGAGGATGCTGACATAATGGCAAGTGTCCAACTGTCCACTGTCCAGCATGGTGGCAAGACAGCATGATGATTGATGACCCAATAATCTGTCATTTATCTGCCTGAAATTTTCTATTTGCTTCTGTGTTGCTGTTTCTGACATGGCGAATCTGAAAAATAGGGAGTCTGTATGCTCCACCGTAGGTTGGCGTTTTAAGAAGCACGGACATGGACACGGATACAAGACACGGATACGACACGATGCGGACACGGCAACTCGACAAATCCAAAAAAATTAGGACACGGACACGGTGGGGACACGGCGAATAGTATATATATATATATATATATATATATATATATATATATGATGTAGTACTTTAAAAATTACTGAGTGTTACTATTTTTCATCAACCTCACAATGAAAAAAAAACACAAATCATAACTCATAACTAATATACTATAAAAGAACAATGTTGCATAGTTATAAAATCAAATAAAAAACAAGACATTAGAATAATAACTTGTATCATTTAATCATCATTGCAACTTTACTCCAAATACAAAAGCATAGACATTCATGACTGTTTAACATTTAGGACTTTACTGTTAGCACTTAACATTCACAAAAACCTAAAGCTAGTCCCCAAAAAAGATACAAAAATAAGTCAGTGTACTATCATCTATTCCCATCCATCATTTGACCTAGGACTTTTACTATTTACAATAACAAAAGGGTAGTACAAAACAAAAAACAAAACATATTAGCATTAAAAATTAAAATTAAAAAAAATTCTAGACACGTGTGTCCGCGGAGTGTCCGTGCTGTGTCCGAAAATTTAAAAAAATAAAAAAATTCTAGACACGGTTTTTGGTGTGTCCGACATGGATTCTTCGCCAAGGCGTGTTTGTGCTTCCTAGTTGGCGTTCTTATTGTATGATCAGGGGCAAATCCAGAAACTTATACTTGTGTGTGTGGGGGGGGGAGTAGGGGGCGGGACTAGTGTATGAAAATTATATATATATATGTGGGGGGGGGGGGGGAGGGTAGGGGGCGGGACTAGTGTATGAAAATTATATATATATATATATATATATATATATACAAATAAATAAACTATAATTTATTATGATATACATAGAAGTCATCTACTTTTTTACATAAAAATAAAGTAAGATAGATGATGTGTAAATAAAAATTATTTCATAACCCATATATAAATATGTCTAATTTGGGCATATATAATATAAATGGACAAAAGAAGTATAATATAAATATATAAATGGACAAAAGAATTTAAGTTACAAAATGGTAAAACAAGGAGAAAAAGAAAAGTATGGGTTATATATATATGCATGTGTGCGTGTGCGGATTTTCAAAAATAAAACTTAAAACATTCCAAATTGAGATTATTTATTAGCTTTGTGGAGTTTACTTGTTAATGTAGTAATTTTTTTGGGTAAGTAAATCTTTTTAATATATTTTAAATTAAACTATTATAGGGCCCTACTAAATAGGATTTTACAATTTTTTTTTATTTATTTGGGGGTGGGGGCTAATATTTTTTTAGTGAGTAATTCCTTTTAGTATTTTAAATTTTAACTATTTTAGGACCCTATAAATAGGGAGATTTCAAATTTTTTTTTTTTTGGGTGGGGGTCTCGAAATAGTTCCACCCATGTAATGATTTTTTGTTCTGATTTTTAAGTCTTCATTTCCTTGTATCTCTTCCTGTAAATAATCATGTTTTCTTTAATATGTAGCTTTTGTTATAGTAAGTTTGTTGAATCCCTATTTTCTAATTTGACACAAAGTTATGTTCTATTTTCGTATAACTAATTTGATGAAACTTACATTGGAAGATGAATGATGCTATTTTTATTCTGGATTTGAAAACTATTTTATCAGAAGTTATCTTGTTGCACATGTATCTTTGTCTACAGCAAGCGGACAAGTGGATTTGACATGGCCCCAGCTGTTGCTTCCCTGATGACTGGTGGTGCAGTTTCAGGTTAGCATCTAGTCTTTCTTCTGTATATATGTAAACTAGGTTCCCATTAGCATTCAGTTGTGCCGCATCATTATGTAGGAAGATTGTAGCATTTGAGTTTGGTAATTGTTTTTGATTACTTTTCTGTTCAATTTTGGTTATTTTTCTTATCTAATTGTTTATTATCGGAACTGAGAACCATTGTTGTGTTGTTGGCTGTGGTGTGGTTGTTTGTTTGTGTTTTTGTCTATCATTGGGTAAGACGGCAATGTTGGGCTACATGTCCCACTGTGCTACCCATGGACGTGACCACTGTAGATTTATTGTTCAGAGGAGTCAATGCACGATTAGCTGGATCTGGTTCGCCTTCAACCGGCAACTGTTGTTATTTGGTAGACTTACAAATAATTCCTCAGCATCTGCAGTGATGATATTTATTTCTTATTTTATTACCTGAATGATTGTCATTTTAGGTACGAAATATTTTTTATTTGTGTTATTTATAATGCATTAGTGTTCTGATAATTAGATAGTTTTAGGCTTCTGGAAGTGTTGCTTCTCAACATGTAGCAGCAACACGTTTTTATTTTTGTCATTTGATGCCTCATTCCTTCTTCACCTGATTTCTTATGGTTAAATATGCAGGACAACTAGGTGGTCCTCAAACAATGCCAGGAATGTTCCAAAATATGTTACCTTTTGAGACAACACAGGTATTGGTATTCAAAGGAACCAGTTCATGACTTATTCTGACGGTTTTCGTTTTCACTGTTTCTATTCTAGCATTGCTAACTTAAATGCATTTTTATAGGTTAATCAGTTTGGAGCTCTTCCACTGATGCCAGCCCAAGCCATGACTCAGCAGGTAAAAGACTATTATTATTATAATTATTATTATTATTAATTTTCAAACTTATGCTGTTAGTTATGTTTGAAATTGTTCCAGTGATGTATTTGTGCTCCTTTCTCTATCAGGCTACAAGGCATGCACGTCGTGTATATGTTGGTGGTCTTCCTCCTCTGGCTAATGAGCAGGTTGTAAACTGGGATTTTTTTCCTTGTTAGGAACACTATGGTTATTATTTATTTTTGGTTTTTTAGTGTCAATATATTTCTGTTCCCAAATATGCTGTGTTCCACATAATTGACATGGGTTGACGTTTTCATATTTACTTGTTTTTTTGTATCAATTCGTAGTTCTGATATTTTTAGATTCAGGTACTGTATGTTTAATCTTTCTTTCGTTTGTTTCCTTTCCCTTTTATATAAGTTGACTCCTTTTTCAATTATAACGTAGTTTGACATTATTGGGTTTACAAGTTTGTTATAAGTTGTTACTTTGTATTTGTAATCTAGTCTTTATACACACCTATTTGTAGGTTACACATATGAGACCACGAACAAAGGGGATTGTAACCTAATTCAGAATATAGTCTTCTGCACCCACTATTGAGCACTGATATATGCTTTTTCTTCCCAAGTAATATATCTGCTGTTTGTCTTGGGATTTTCTTTTAAAATGCACTAAAATGATGTTATAATCGTAAGTGTTGCAGGCACACTACCTTCAGTTTCAGGACACAAATCTTTCCATCTTTTATCTGCACATAATTTCTTCCCAAGTAATGTGTCTAGAAGATTCTTTGAGAAATTAATGTAGCCAAAGTTGGCATGGAACCTATCATCTCGGACACTACAGATTATTGGTTCCTCTGGCTTCTGAAACCTGTGATAAGCAATCTTATACTCATCTTTAGTTCACTTAGCATGCCAAATGTCTTATTGATTTCAGGGATTCAAATCCTAGCATCAAAATTAATATTCAGTTATGGAGTAAACATATTTTTTGTTCTAAGCTATTTCATGATTTACTGGTTGCAGTTATTCTAGCAACTGTTTTGATTTTTGAACTCTCACCAAAGATGCCTTCCCCCCGGCCTTTTTTCTTCCTTTTTCTTCTGAAAGCAGAGTATTGCAACATTTTTTAGCGGTGTTATGACTGCAATTGGAGGAAATTCTGCCTGTCCTGGTCAGTTTACTCTTCTCTTTCAAGTATAATTTTTTATTTTTATTTTTATGTTTCCCATTGTCCCTCCTTTTCCCTTGGTTTACTGTTAGATCATAAATGATTCTATATTTTTAATTATAGGTGATGCGGTTGTAAATGTGTACATTAATCATGAAAAGAAGTTTGCATTTGTGGAGATGAGAACTGTTGAAGAAGCAAGTAATGCAATGGCTCTAGATGGGATTGTGTTTGAGGCAAGCTCAATTCTCTCTCTCTCTCTCTCTCTCTCTCTCTCTGATGATTAAAGGTGTGATTGGAGAAAATGGCGAGAATGAAAGTATGCACATTGAGGCTGCAATTATAACTTCCATAATATTGTACTTAGACCATTCCATCTTGTCTCCAATATTATAATAAAAGCTTAACATTAGGAACCTGTATCAATACAGACGGTTTCATGGTATAATTGAAGAAACATTTATGACTCCATTGTTCATTTATGGCAGTTACAATGACTTGTGTTTTTGCTGAAATTTCAAAAATCTTGACTTGCTGGATATGCCATTAGTGCATGCGTGATGGCCATTTCACTGAGTGTTGGGTTTGAGTAATCAGAGTTTTCACACGTTTTATATTACCTTGGTTAAATTTTTATGGAACTTGTAACTTAGTTTTGTAGCTCAATTTTTTGGCACGAGGATTAATTTACCTGTGCAAAGCATAGGTGATCTTTTGTCTGATTTCTTCTTTTCTTTTCTTTTTTGTTTCTTTCAATCTTGCTAGGGTGTTTCTGTGAGGGTACGAAGGCCTACAGACTACAACCCTTCGTTAGCTGCAGCACTTGGTCCTAGCCAAGCAAGTCCTCACCTTAACTTGGCTGCTGTTGGACTTACACCTGGGTAAATTGACATTACATCTCTTTCCCTCAAACTTTGCAATATGATTCACTTTGCCAAGATGATATACTTCTAAAATTTATAGCTCAAAAGCAAGTTTTGATTAATGGACATTTAATTTAACTGTTAAGTTTTTGAGTTGAGTAATAATTGGATGCTCTGTTCTGTTGCTTTGTATTTATTTGTATTTTTGTTTTATTCGGATACTAGTAATAGGAGGTATAAACTACACGAGGACTAGAGTTTCTCCAATTGTTCCTCCAGACTAGAAATGATGAGAAACAAGGGGCGGATTCGCTGCCCCCCGACCCCCCCCCCCCCCCCCCCCCCCGGCGCGCGCGCGGCCAGCGATTAAATGCAGTGGATATCATTCCCAAGAAAAACCACTGGGAATTATAGCATCCATTTTGGTAGTTAAATAAGATCAACTACCTTCAACACATTGGATTAGTTCCATGGACAACCCGGCAGTTTACCTCAGTTTATGAGTCAATTAAGAGAAGGAATATCACGAGGGGAGTGCCTAATCTCTGCAAATGGAAAATAAGAAGAATTTTCAAATTGAGCAATGCTCCTTACACAGGAGATTTAGAGGACTAATATCTCAAAATTCTAATTTTCTCTAAAAATTAGATTTAAACATCTGAGAGACCTGCAATGATGTCTTCAGTTACTCTCTTCCTCCACTGCTTCACCTTGCCATCATGTTTGTGCATGCTATCTCAATAGTTGTCTCGGGTTTCATTGGATTAAAACTGACCTTACGACGGATGATTGTATTTTTTATTTGCTTTCTATTCTTCTTTCTTCACAAGATCATCATTCATCATTGTTATAACCATTTGCTTTAGGATTTATATGATTTTTCGTGTTGTCTTTTTTCTCTGGTGTGCTGATTTTGGATCTCATTGATAGTGCGATTGGTGGAGCTGAGGGTCCAGACCGTATATTTGTTGGTGGATTGCCATACTACTTTACTGAAGCACAGATTCGAGAATTGCTCGAGTCTTTTGGGTAGTCATTCTATTGTTAAAGCTTCTTCTTGTTCTTCTTGAATCTTTAATTCCTTTTCTCATGTTTCTTTCTGCACTAATGAATGACCCATGCTTTATATGAGTTAACAGGATCTATGTTTCCTGTCTTAGTTATGTTGTCAATTACGGTATTACATGTTTTATTGATATAGTATTTGGCTTGTTGCAGACCTCTGCATGGGTTTGACCTCGTTAGGGACAGAGACACAGGAAACTCTAAAGGATATGGTTTCTGCATCTATAAGGTGAATAAAGCTAAGGCTAGAGAGATTACTTTTTACCTTGGGCTGCTGTCAGAGATGCAGTTAAAGCTCTTGGTTTTCAATTTTTTCCCCGGGATTGTAATTAATTTATCGTATTTGAACTCTAATAAAGCCATGATTGGTGTTTGTTATGGGATGCGCTCACTTTTTGAACACTCTTTCAATGATATTTACTTACTAAAAAAACATAACAATGCCATGATTGGTGCGAAGTTACAAGCTGAGGCAACTTTTCTCCTAGTATCTAAAACTTTTCGTATTTTCTGCTTTTGATTTGATACTCCGCAACTTCATCGTTGCTTTGTCAATCTTTAATATCTGTTTATATTATAAGATTTTAATTATCTGGCATATGTTGACTTCAGGATCCCGCCGCAATAGACGTTGCTTGTGCTGCTCTTAATGGATTAAAAATGGGTGATAAAACACTAACTGTCAGGCGTGCTACAATCAGGTTGGTATTCTTCAATGAAAAACCTGAATTAATGGGGAAAACCATCATTTTTTATTTCACCCCATCACGCTGTCATCTTTTCTTGATAACTTGATTCCAAAATATTTGTTGTATTCAGTTCCTATAAGTTAGTCTTCTAGCTAGTAGGGACAAGTTTAGCTGGAAATTCTGTCACAATTGTGAAGGTTCTCTCGTTGGATAAAGTATCAGTAGCGAAAGTTTTGGGTACTGCTTCCCAAGGCACTGAGACGTTAGAGCCTTGGGAGTAAATAGGTCTTGGGAATAGTATTTTGTGACTTAACTTTCTTAAGTAATTATTGATCCTTATTTCAAAATCAGTTGATTAGTTAATCACGTATCATTTATCATCATGTAAACTCATAGAGCAATAAATAAAATAAAGCTGAGAGACACTAATTTTTACATCATGCGTTTCCCTTTTGAACGCTTCTTTATACAATCTTTACTTATAAAAAAAAACAAAATAATTTTTTACATGAAAACCCGAACAGAGGCATCAAAAAAATAAAATAATCTTCTTTAAGCAAATTTATATGCCTTCACAATCAATATCAAAAGTATCAGATAAACTAGAATTATTATCGTGCAACAAATTATCAAAGAAAGAACAATCATCGGAGTTAATAAAATCGAGTCAAGATTTTAAATATCCATAATTCTCCCTAAAAATCAACTCTATATTAGCAACTCTCGAATACCAGTTGGAAGTTCTGTGGGACCAACCCAAGGTTCTTATGTGTTTGAGTATGAGCGGTGATTGAGACCTAGAGGGGAGTTTCCAAAAATTTAAGCCTGCAGGGTTGGTCGATCGAGCCCTTCGATCAAGCACTACTAGACAAGCTTCAATCGATTGATATTGCTCGAGGCATTCTGGATTTCAAAATATTTTCTGCAAAAATCACGATCAATAGACCTTTTGGTCAAGGTACTATTTGGCAAAAATTCCTGTTTTGAAAATCAATATATCAGAAACCCCAATTTTGATAAATAGGACTAAGACAATATTTTGAGTCTTTTAAAGATCAAACCTAGGTCATAATTGGTCTCTATGGTCTTAACTTACCTTACCCTAGATATGTGATTGAGTCTAAAGTGATTCCTGGCATCTTCTTCGCAGTTCTGTGTTGTCCTTGTCTTCAATAGATGTATTCGAACGACTCAAGACACTTTGACAAATTTTAAAACTAGTTTCAAGTACGAATATGTCAACACATATACCTAAAAAGTAGATGTTAAATTTCGAGTCATAACATGTCGACGCCTCTCCTTTCAGCATTCTGGAAACTGCCATGATGTTTTCATACTAATGATGTAATTTTCATTATCTATCCTTTAAGTTAGTCTTCTAGCTACTAGGCACAGAAAGTCTGGTTGGAACTTCTGTCACAAGACTGAAGGTTTCTCTTTGGACAGCAAAATTTGAGTAGATACTATATTTCGAGTAGGGAAGAAGATGGAGACGGGTCATAACATGTTGATGTCTCTCCTTCCAGCATTCTGGAAACTGTTATGAGATGTGTATGATGTAATTTTCATAATCTAACAGAGCTTCTGATAGTTATTAATTTGAGTTTGAGAACAAGATTGCAAAATCATTAAAATTTGAAGTTGTGTCAGAATTTTGCTATTCTAAAGCATAGATAATGAATCTTCTGAGAGATATATTGGTATCAGAAACATGAGGTTTTTAGTATTAAATTTCCATTCTGTTTTTAGTCTTTGTTAAGCGTCAGAGAAAGTAGGTTTGAGACTAAGGGCAGCTTTTGATGTGAAGAATGCCGAGTATCATGTTTATACCTAATCTAGCGATTCTAGCCCTACCTGCACACGCGATCAATGGGAACCAACACTAGGTGATGGCATTCTACGATACAAATAAATTGTTATTTGGGGTTTTAATAATATTTTGATAAATCCGTATGATCTATTGCTGCAACAAATGCGTAATTTGTTTGATAGATAATAAAAGATGCTTTATGGGTACAAAAAGCTTGTCATTTTTCTTTTTCTTCTTTTTTGTTTTGTATTGTTTAGTTTTTTATTTTTATTTTTATTTTTTGCTATAGAAAATGAGGAATTCTATGAAGGAAAGGATGGAGATCCGTCAAAGAAAGACAAGAAAACCACTAACAATATAAAATAAAAGAATGCTACTTGTGAGACACTCCTTGAGACCCCATAAACCACTAACAATACAAAATAAATGAATGCTACTCGTGAGACACCCCTTGAGACCATTTTACAGGGAGTAATAGTGATTAGCGACCCTTTAAATTAAAGGAGTGATTCTTTCTAAAAATCCATTTGAAATCCGCTTCTAAATAAATGGCTATACTCCTAACGTCCAGAATGAATTGATTATAGGCGTTTCCAACCACCAAACAGAGAACCTAGGTGTTTCCTTTTGCTAGTAGCCAGTTTAACATTGTAATGTGCGCTTCATGAAGCCCCTCAAGCAATATGCCAATATCTCAGCTTTGACTGCAGAGGCGACGTCAAAGAGCGAGAATGGTGTTGCTGTTGTGGTCTCTATATGTTCCCGGTTCCCCAATAGGTCAGGGTTTCCAAGAGAGGCGATCAAAATTAAGTTTCAATTTTTCTCTAATTGGGGATCCTATATTAGGGTAAAGGCTTGACTTAAAGGTACTACCAGGTTACACTGATTTCCAATCTAAAAGAATAAAGCTCAAAGGAACTCTGACACACTATTTGGTAACTGGGACCCAAATAGAATTTTCAAAACTCTTGTTCCCCCAACTTCCTGTTTTTGTTGCTTCTCGAAAATTCCAGCCTTCCTTTCACCCCAATATAAACCAAAGAATAGCCGGTCTAGCAATCATCCACATCGCTTGGCTTTTAACCCCAACTTCAATAGCCACCAGATCCCCAAAGAATAGTGTTGCAATCTTGACCTACCCAAGAGAGAAGTTATTTCCATAAAGATGAAGAGAAAAAAACGAATGTACTAAGGAATGAGCTCATCGATTTCATAGTTACTTAAATTTCTGGGGACTTTAAAATTCCAATAGATGGATTTATTGGATTAAATAATGAAGATACATTTTTTTTTTGATAAGTGAAATAATGAAGATACATCAAGAACCACTTTGGCTGGGTAACCAGAAAAGATGGGGTTTCCTTAGAGGGCCAATCTTAAAGTTTGGCAATATGGTCAGAATCTTTTGGCTTATGCTATGTAGGTGATGGGTGTTTTGTTTGCAGATATATTGCTTGATTTAGTGGCATTTATGGTAATATTTTTATAGTCTATGAGGCATGAAATAGGCTTTACAAAAACTTAGTATGCTTGTTTGGTAGATATGAGCTCATTTACAGTTTCTGACTTCTTGTCAATTTGTATTTACAGCAGTGGGCAGGTAAAACCAGAGCAGGAACATATATTAGCACAGGCACAACAGCATGTAGCAATGCAGGTAAAAACTCTGTTTCCCTTCCTAGTTAACTTTGTCTGGTTGTGTTCATCATTCATCTATATTTTAAACTTTTTTTCCCCTCCTAGCACCCTGTATGTTTGGACCATTACTGGGCTTATTCATCTATATTCCTTACTTTGTAGAAGATGGCATTGCAAGCCAGTGGTTTGAATCTTCCTGGAATGGATATATTAGGAGGATCTATCACAACTATGGAGGCTCCAACCAACATTTTATGCTTGACCGAGGTATGGTTAGCGTCAAACCTTTTTCTTTCTTTTTAACTTCTTTGCTTGATTTCAGTAGATAGATTTCATTCTTGCTCATGTTTTGAGTATCATGAAGGTGATTAATGCTGATGAACTAATGGATGATCAAGAGTACGAAGAAATAGTAGAGGATATGAGAGAAGAATGCGAGAAGTTTGGTATACATTTTTCATCCATTAATAACCGGTTGTGTTTATGCTTGTCCTTTAAATTGTGAAGTTTCCTCTCTCTCCAACATTTTCATCGCATATCATTTAGTCTCCGTTTTCATTAGCTTAAGTGAAAATAAGGAAAGCAAATTTGTTTTGAATGCTTAAGTTACCACTATCATTAATCATAACTTTGTAGAGCTTGGGCATTTATTAGTTGTAACAAGAAGCTTTTGACAAAACCAAAGCTTAGTCATATCTTCTGCTCCACATGCCGGATTTAGCACACCAATTTCAAAAGCTTGACATTTATCAACTGCTATTAGAAATATCATTATTATTATTATTAAAATAATAATAGTAATAACAGCCATTATTTTAGATAATTTGAATTTGATTCCATTATAACAGCAGTAATTATACAATCCTAAAACAATGTATGTTTCTTATAATGGTTAGAACAAGAATAGTGTTTACTGCTACAGGATTTCTATATGCACAGAATTTTCTTTGGTCCCACTAAACTCATGATAGTCACTCTTATATTCTTTATCTGGGTTGTGTATTTCAACATTTCCAAACTAATCTGACAAGAACTTCTCATACTTGGCTTGATATTGTAGGACACTTGAAGAATGTTGTTATTCCCCGCCCAGATCCAAATGGAGAGCAGGTTTTAGGTGTTGGGAAGGTAAGTTTCTATTCCAGTGTCTTAAAGGTTTAGGTTTTTTGATTGATTGTTACTACACTGGATCAGGAGCTCCTCTTCTCTTTATATACATATATATAAAATACAAAATTAAAGCGTCATCTGCTGATACAATCTACACAACCTCAAGCTGTAAGAAGTGTTGTGCAGGTATTCATGTTGCATGAGATGTCCAAGGGTAAATCATTTCCCTGCTCTACGTTTCCGCTTGTTTGATTGGTCACTGTTTTTTGAATACTGTACTAGTCATACAATAGCAACCTAAAGGCCATGCAAGTTTCCTTGACTGCATGTTGGAAAGAGACAATGGTTTGCCTGTAAATCAAGTAGGAAGGGTTAAGTAAGACGGTATACTGTTCAATACCCATGTTACTGCATTTGAATGACATTGTGAAATCTTGTTACATCATGAATGTCCTAAACAGGGTGATAAACTTTTTGCTTAATTTATGTTCCATTACATTTGTATTATCCCTTGCTCGCAGTGGAGCTGTGGCAACACACTATATGAATGATTCAAGTTACTAAATTGATTCATGAAGGATTTAAGTCTATTTGTTCTAGGAAACGAAACTGTGGCAACAGAGTACGTGGGATTCAAGTCTATTTGTTTTTTGATGTGGTCGAAGTAGCTAAATTATTTGTTCAAATTGCAGGTGTTCTTGGAGTACTCTGATGCCGGTAGCTGTGCTAAAGCTAGGGATGCACTAAGTGGCAGGAAATTCGGAAGCAATATTGTGACTGCCGTCTACTACCCAGAAGAAAGATATTACAAGTGTGATTATGGTGCATAAAACACATGCACCCTGCCATTACTACTTTTATTTTGGTTAAGAATCCAAATGTACAATTTTGAATGCTTGTAATTGAATGGATAACATTTTCGTGTTAATTTAGATCTGTTCTTTCAAATAAACCTTTTCTGTCTTTTTTGAAAGAACTGTGGTATTTCACATGTTATAATTATCAATGTAACAGAAGAATTATAATAGAGGTGTTTTTAATTAACTTAATGGATATATTTGGTGGATGAATCTTATTTTTATACATTATTGTGTGATCTCATGCAACAAGTACATCATTGCCAATACGAGAATAATCATCATTGCCAAGGAGTAGGATACACAGTTCAGAAGTGTCTCAATTCTCGGGAATTAAACTTGTAACTTTTGCGTTATTAATTTTTTATTTTTTTGTGTGGTAAGCAAAATGCTTCCTTAAACGCCACCGGTAGCTAGTTTCAACACAATTACTAATTTAAACTTACTTTTAATTTATTATAAAAAATCAAAATATATGTTGTTATGAAATGACCACTTTGCAAATGAGGCAAAGTGGTCATTCCATAATAACATATATTTTGATTTTTCATAATAAATTAAAAGTAAGGGTAAATTAGTAATTGTGTTCTTCAGTTGGTCGGAAATTAGCTTCCGGTGGCCTTTAAGGGGGTATTTTGCTTACTTTTGATAGTTGAAGAGTTAACTTGCTTCTAAAAATAGTTCAGGGAAATTATGTAACAATGAGATAGTTTGAAGGGTTTTTTTTGCTCTTTTGCCTTTTTTATTATTATTATTTTTATTTTTTTTTATTTTTTTTATTAAAGTTCAATATATATATATATTTAGAAATCATGAACTTTAAAACTTCTTTAAATTTATTTTGAGCTAAGCTGAATTGTAAGTCTTTAACCCTTAGCAAAACATATTTTCAAATGATATATTATCTCGGGTTAAGTGTAAAAAAAAACAATATATAGGGTTTGTGCAGAAATAGTCCATACTCTTTGAAAATGTGCATTTCAAAAAAAAAAAAAAAAAAAAAAAAAAAAAAAAAAAAAAAAAAAAAAAAGTGCAAATAAATCCCCTTCTACTATCGATATAGTGCAAAACAATCCCTATGTGGTATAAAACCCCTGTATACTATTTTTTTTTTTTTTTTTACAAGGCAAGAAAGGTTAAAAGTTAGATTAGTAAGTGCAAAGAGTCAAAGTACAACACTCTAAAAATCCACCGGAGACACTAACCACTTGACTATCGAGACATCTACTACCCCTCTATACTATCAATTTGGTACAATTACCCCATATTTGCATAAAAAGACCTTAATACACTCTCTAATATAAATGAAATAATATTAAAATTAGGCAATATAAAAATTACCATTTTAAATAATTTATTCTTTTTTTCTTTTGTATTTGGTTGATTGATTTATAGGTTGTGGTGGTGGAAGGTTCAGAGACGGCCAAGGTGATGGAGGGAGAGGGGGAAGGGGCTTCGGAGGAGGAAGAAGTCTCAGAGGCCCTAGAGGCGGTGGCAACTTTAAAAGTCGTGGTGGCGGTAGAGGTGGCGGTAGAGGTGACGGAGGGAGAGGAAGGGGCAAAGGCGGTTGTGGTAGAGGTGATAGAGGGAAAGGAGGAAGGGGCTTTAGAGGAGAAAGAAGCCCCGAAGGCCCCAAAGGTGGTGGCGGCTTTAAAAGCTGTGGTGCTTGTAGGGGTGATGGAGGGAGAGGAAGGGGCAGAGGCGGTGGAGCGTAGGAGAGAAGGGTAGAATCGGAAAAGAAAAGGGCAAAATATGGTTTTTGAATTTATTTTATGTGAATTTTGACCAAAAAGTTATCAGAGGGGCTTATTTGCACTTTTTTTTTTTTTTTTTTTTTTTTAATTTTATGAACTAAAATGCACATTTTTAAAAAGTAAAGATTATTTCTGCACAAGCCCTATATAAGGGGGATTTTTTTGCACTTAACCCAGAAATTTATATTAGAGAGGGTATTAATGTCTTTTTATGCAAACAGGGGAGTAATTGCACCAAATTAAGAGAAATGTTAAGGATAGTCGCTAAGGCAACTGCCCATTCACAGTCACTATTCTTATTGGTCAGTAAAATTGTAATTAATGAAGACATTAATTACAAATTTTTAACTTTCTATGGAATGTTAAAACTATTTTTTTTTTTTTTTTTGGACAAAACAGCCCTTTTAAGCCTTTCATCCCTCTCCTCAGTTCTTACTTTTCAAACTCCAAACTTACGCAATTGAATTGAACCTCACTTGATGAGGTTTACATATATATATATATATAAAGCATTACTTTCCTCTCTTTTTATATGTATATATAGATATATGCATATATACAGCTTTATATATATATATAGCTAATAATATGGGAGTATATTCTTTCTTCTCTTTTATTTTTAATTGTGTCGTTTAACCTTTATATATATATATATATATATATATATATATATATATATATATGAATTTATGGTTGAGAGGATTGCATATATATATATATATATCAACTAGCAAGGAAAAAAAAAAGAAAAAAAGAAAAGAAAAGAAAAGCAATGCTTTATATATATATGTGTGTGTGTGTATGTATATATGCATATATCTATATATGTAAACCTCATCAAGTGAGGTTCAATTCAATGTTTGAAAAGTGAGAACGGAGGAGAGAGATGAAAGGCTTAAAAGGGCAGTTTTGTCTATAAAAAAATATATATAGTTTTAACATTGCATAAAAAGTTAAAAACTTGTAATTAATGTTTTCATTAATTACAATTTTACTGACCAATAAGAATAGTGACTGTGAATGGACAGTTGCCTTAGCGATTGTCCTTAGCATTCCTCCCAAATTAATAGCATAGGAGATTTTATACCGCATAGAAATTATTTTGTACTATATTCATAATTAGTGATGATTGTTTTGCACTTAACCCTATTTTCTATAATCTCTAGAGAGATTGGAGATGTCCAATACAACAACCAATGGTGGTAATTGATACCACCACAATGTTGTGATGGGTCCTAGGAGATGTCCGATACAACAATCAATGGTGATAATTAATACCACCGTGATGGGTCGTGATAAACCTCACTTGATGGGGGGAATAACCATCATTTATGGTGTATTGAAACTCTCCAGTATGCAACGACACGTGTTATTCGGAAGCCAAGAAAAATACTACTACTATTACTTTGCCTATTTGAATCGAAGAAATTAAGAAAATTCAATGTCACCATCATTTTATTTGGAGAAATGAAGAAAATTCAATGTCACCATCCGTTAGTTGTGGAAAAACTTGATGGTGACCAATTCTTGCTACTCCAATATCCACTCCCCAAATATAGTACTACTCTATATATTACATACCTATAAAAAGATCACATTTCATGTCTAGGAATGTAAGTCGCTCCCTTTTTATATAATAATAACAGATTCATAACTAAGTTGTGTCTTGTGCCCTTGTCTCTCTCTCTCTAAAATCCATCCACTAACAAATTTGGATAACTCTCTCTCTCTATCTCTCTCTCCCTCCCAAGGTATGTATATATATATATATAACCAACATGTGATGTGACATAGGGGAGTGAGTTACAAATTTTTTTCACCAATTAAGCAGTGTTTCCATGTCTTTTTACAAATAGCGTTTTTGAGAAATAAGTTTTGTTGTGGAAGATAATAGAAAGAAAGAGAGAGAGAGAGAGAGAGAGAGAGAAGATGTTGGGCATATTCAAGAAGGGTTTGGTTGATCCACCAGAAGAGCTGAATAGCCCAGCTTCATTGCAGCCCTCCGTTGAGCCCAAAATTCCTGAAGACACTCTGAAAGATTTCTTATCTTCTCATCCCACTAACAGCTTCTCTGTTGGTTTTGAAGACAAGGCCTTGCTTGCTTTTGCCCCACCTGACCCATCACTCTCAAGTCATCACAGGTAATCACAATCACTAATATGTAATATGTAATATATATATATATATATATATATATATATATATATATATAATATGTAATATTATGAGATGGATCTCATCTTAGAATATTACCGCGGATCTCATCACTCACACGTGTTTATGTGTATGCATGAAACTTGAATGAGCACCAACATGGATAGATTGTTTTGACGAAAATACCTTTATATATGTACACTTACCCTTCACAATTAATTTTACAGATAAGAAATTAAGGGTTTTGTTGCATTCGTGTGTTTTTGTCTAAACAATCACCTATGTGCATTGGACATGACCATTTTAACACCATAAGTCTAACTTTTCGCTGCCACAAGGGAGTGATTTATCACTTTTGATAAATTGAAGGTGTTTATTGACAAATAAATAAATAAATAAATAAAACTTTAACTTTTGATAGTAGAGGGAGGTTTAGTGCAATTTGACCTAATATCTTTAAGAATTTTTTATTTTTTTTTAGTTGAAGCTCTTTCTTTTATCTTTTATAAAATAAACAAATTATGATGCAGGTTATTTTGTGGCATGGATGACATATACTGCATCTTTTTGGGGGACTTAAACAACCTATCTGCTCTAAACAAGCAATATGGACTGTCAAAGAGTGCCAATGAGGCAATGTTTGTGATTGAGGCATACCGGACCCTCCGCGATCGAGGCCCATACCCGGCCCATCAGGTCCTCAATGACCTGGATGGCAGCTTTGGATTTGTGGTCTATGATACCAAGGTTGGAACTGTCTTCACCGCACTGGTAAGTTCTCTCTCTCTCTCTCTAAGACCCTAAATATATATATATTGTAAAAATGTATAAATTTGTAGGGAGCTTTTTGTAACTTCATTTTCATTCACTAACAATTGACCAATTTGGATTGACAGGGTTCTGATGAAGGAGTGAAACTCTTTTGGGGTATAGGTGCTGATGGCTCAGTGGTTATTTGTGACAATTTGGAGGTCATAAAAGCAAGCTGTGCTAAATCATTTGCACCTTTCCCAATTGGTATGTTATCTTTTGTTTTTGTTAAACAAGTTCATATATAACAACAAATTACCAAGTGATATATATATATATATATACATACATATATATCAAAGCTACACAAAAAGCCATTTTACCTACTTGGTTCTCACTAGTTAAGGTCCGTTGGGAGGAAAATGTGTGATGTTTGGAGGGTAGGCAAATGCACATTCGACATAATGAAACTCACTTGGGTCCAGGGACGGAGTCAGGATTTCATTTTAGGGGCAGACACAGAGAATATTAGACATGTTTGATTAAAGAATGGTGTGGTGATTGAATATTAGGCATGTTAATTTTTTAATATACAATATTGACTTACAATCAATATTAGGCACATTGGTTTGATTATGGTTACAATATTAGGATGTTGTGTGCATGTAAATATATTCACATACAAGCCCCTTTAGCATGCCAAATGCAATATTATAGTTAACAAAATGAAACTTACAAATATACCTCATAAAGGAAAAGAATGGTGTTCGGAGACTAAAAACATGTATTTTAGTGAAAAATATAAAAGGGTTGGCCCAGTGCATGAGATTTATATCGGGGTGTGGGGCGGATCAGGTTTCAAATCCATGACTTCCAGATCACATGGAGCAACCTTACTCTTATGCCAAGCACCGAACAATATAGGAGTAATAAAATTGTGTACATACATGTAAACATATTCATTCACATATAAGCTATATATATATATATCTATAGATATAGTGTCCTTAAAATTGGGTGAATACAGGGTGCATGCACCATAGCAAAGGAGGGCTGATGAGCTTTGAGTATCCGATGAACAAATTGAAGGCAATGCCAAGGATAGATAGCGAGGGAGTGATGTGTGGAGCCAACTTCAAGGTTGATACCTGTTCAAAGATAGTCAATAGCAGCATGCCAAGGGTTGGAAGTGAAGCCAATTGGGCTACTTGGGGACCTCTAGCTTGAACTTTATTCATCTTCAATTTTGAAATGGGACTTCACATCACCAAACCACCTGCACATTCTTTTTGCTGTCTTTTGGTCTTGCATTAGTGTTTTGTTTACTTGCCTTGTGTTGTTTCACTCTTTTCTTTTCTTTTCGTTTTTTTTTTTTTTTTTTTTTGTATAATTTCGATTTCATTTTGTTAATTTAGAGGAAAAATATAAGAAGTTTCCATTTCCTGTGGCACAAATCAATTGCAAGTTGGTTACCTAGGTTACCAACCGACCAAATGAAAGGAAATATATAAATCTGATTCAGTTTGGATTAGTTCATCATATTTTTTTGATTCTTAAATCGTTAACCAAACCACACTACTAACAGTTCCACTATTTTTGAAAGAGTAATGATATTCAGACCCACTTATTAGGTCTACTTTTCAAAGTGAAACAATTAAGGTCATTGATGACCTGTGAGACACTTTTTAAGTCCCACTTTAAACCGAAGTAATTAATACATTTCAAATTAGTTTAAATCATGAATTCATGTGCACCCCAAGCACACAAAATCTCTGCTTGCAATCTCTCCAATTGCTACACAAAATTATCATGGTTCGGTTTGGATTAGTGTTATGTCACAACTAAGGCACACTTCAATAGTTGCAATTTTGCAATCCTTATTGAACTGCCTATTTCTGAAAGCATGAGATATCTTTGTATAACTTTCTTGTCATCAAACTCATCATGTTGGCCTTCACTACAAATCAGATGAAGAAACTTCTATGCACCAAATAATTTAATTTTGATTACTACATTTAGGATTAAATTTTTAATTATTCTTTTAATTGCATACAAAGGCATGGACATGCATGTCCTATATATCAACCATCATCTCATATGGTTGCATCTCATGCATTTGGTCTAGTCTAGTCTAGTCAATATTGGACTATTGGTGAGGATTGTGAACATTTTAATGAATTATTACTTACAGACCAATGTGCAAAAATTGAAACTCTGCATTGTTTTTGCTGGACTTAAAATGTTGACATAAATATTTCTTGGCAGGACTGTAATAGGCAGGTTACTGAGAATCCAGAAGACGTAAACCGTCGTTATTTGTCCCAAACGGAGGTGACAAAGGGGTTAAAAGAGCCGAACAACCTGCGTCGAAGAGGGTTAGAAGTGAAAGAGCCAACAATAGAAGTGAAAGAGCCAACAATTGATCCTCCAGAAGAAAAGATGGCTAAAGCAAAGACAAACGTAACGCAATCGCGCACAAACCACTGTGATAAATCTCATTTGTTAGCCTTCATTGTTGGAGTAGTAGTGACAATGTTGTTATATCACGCACTCAATAGGTTGTGGTAGAGCCTTGTGACATGGACTTGATGACTATGAATGCTGTAAAAATCTGAGTTCTATGACAATAAGCAGCAATTTGTTGGTGAAATATCAATCTCCAGAACGAACCACTCGAGAGTTTGCAATAGTGACATTTTACAATGACATGAAACAAACAATCTTGTTATAATTACACTAGAAACAAAGATTACAATCATCTTTTTCACCAATAGATGTACATAAGCATTGCAAATGCTGAGAGCTCATGCATGGACAAGAACATTTCCATTTCATATTCAAAATGGATAGTCATTCGAGCAATAGTTTAACATGTGATGGAGGTTGATTCAACCTAAGAAACGCTAATGCAATAGAAACAAAGATGCCATCAATCACAAAAACTATTTATTGGAATGCAAAAGAATCCTATAAGACAATATCATGTAGTTTTGTATAATTTGGATGACATTTTTCTGCTTTCCAGGACAGTTTCATGAAAATGATCGGTGACTGGTTTGGGTTAGCACCAGTCACGGTTGTATTTGGGTGCAGAGATCTGTCAAGTGAAGAAACAATAATCCACTGGCTCTGACAAGCATAATCTACTGATAGCCCATAATAATAGACGGGGCATATCATGTGACCTGTATCGCTCAACGAATGATCGATCCCCAGGCAGAATAGGAAGCAAATCAGCCTCAGCAGAGCAATCTAGTCACACTAGCCAACAAATCAGTCCGAATCAACAAATATCTGCATTACACGGGAACAATTGATCAGAATGGCAATCCAACATTTAACTCGTGATTCGAGATTTGAAAGGGGAAGACAACACAAAAAGCTATTCATATATGGATTGGTTAGGATCACTTTTGGGCTATTCGAGCAAAATCACTCCTCTAAAGGGATCAAAAATTGTTGAACTTGATTTAAGAAACAATGAAATAAAGCATTTGAAAAGCCAGTTGGCTACAAGCTAAATACAGAAAATTAACCTCCAAATCTGGCAAAGGTTCATGAGTTTTCTTCTCTCTTGTGTCAAATACTGTTATGCCAGTAATTTTTTGAACCCCAACTTCTGTAGCAATCAGATTCTGCAAAAGCAAAGCCACCACTGAGGAATCACAAACTGAAAATGCAACGAGCAATGAAGTAAACATTTATTCAAAGTAATCCGCAGTACATATTATGATGATATTATACAGATTTTTGCCGCAAGCCACTACTATTTGACAGGCATACGTGATATGACAAGTCCTAGTATTGCAAAGGAAGTGTGAAAATAGCATCATGTCTAACGTTAGACTCCTCTTGGGTGCAAACAATTCCTTGGAGGGGGGGTGAGTACCAACTAGGAAAAAAAAAGTTAGTGTGAAAATCTCACTAGTTTCCACAAGAGAATTTCTGTTACCTAGGCAACCAAAGTATGCGAACTGCAGCAAAATATATGTAGACAAAATGTTTCCATATAAACTCATTTTTTCCCCAAAAACACTACAATTATGTTATAATTTAGATTACAATAGGCTGAAAATTTCACAGAAACTTTCTCTGAAAAACAAAATGGATTAATATGTATATTTTAGAAACATTATACATACCATCTGGAATTCCGTAGAGCCAAGTGCCTCCACCCGTGGTAAAGCCTGTAAGTGGGTGTCAAATAAGTACATCAGCTACTTAAATAACTTTCAATGAGCATGAGAAAGGGGAAGACTAAAAGATGCATCTCAATTATATTGTTTCCAGGTTTTAAGTATGTCTCATCATGTCAATTCCATGTAAGTCACGGGGGTTGTCTTTGAAGATCACAGTTAGCACATGGAAGCAACCTTAAGAGCACAAGTTCATTGTGGCTTTAAAGAGAAACTAGGCAAGCTACTTGCCAGAGATATATGCAACCCCAATGTTATTAAAAGAATATTGCCACCAGCAGTTATGACACAAGAAATGTCTGAGCTAGTGGGTGATAAATTTAGCAATACTGAGCCATGTGCCAAATAAAACCTCTGTTACAACATAAAAGCCTTACCAGACAACTAGCAACTAGGATAGATTTAGAAAATACAGATAATGATTGAAAGCCACTTAAATGCCTTACAGTTGTCTGCAGCCCGTTAACCATAACGACCTTCTCATCACGTGAATCAGTTTGCGATAACCAAACTTCAAAGGGGCCCATTATCCTATCAGTCTGGTTTGTAAGGTTCAAGCGTACCTACAGAAGCACAAAACCATCTAAGTCAATTACAATGGCACTAAACAGATGTTAAAATTCACGATTAAAGAATAACAATAAAAAGAACAAAATGTAGAGTATATTTAGCCTCATTGTTGCAAATCTTTCTATCACTAATCACAATCACTATCATTTTAAGACATAGTAGGGTATTTGATCAACAAACATTGTTCTGCTTCAACATTAGTTTTTGTGAGGAAGAAGTGTTCTATTTTTAGTGTTCATGTCTTTCACCATAAGTAGTCAAGGTAACACTGCCTGGAAATGCATAGACGCAAAAAACTCTTTTGCAACCTCAGGAATAGATTATTTTGGCTCCGATCAGTAAGTAAATTGGCATCTATTTTTCTAGGAAGCACTTAAAACGTGATGTCCTATTAAATTGTACAATAAACTCAATGTAGTGTGGGGAATCTCTTAGAAGGGAATACTCCTCGTGAAGTCTCAAAGATGGACTGTTTCAACTTCTTTTGAGAAGAGCAGATGTTGTCCATACCACTTCAGCAGTAATGTCCCAGAAAATTGTGTGCACAAAAAGTTACACAATTAGAAATCTATATGAAAGGGAATGAAGTAAAACCCTTCTCCTAGCTCTCCACACTATAGTACCTATTAGTTGAGAATACTTGGAAGACAAATTAGGTAGAGGCCTAATGTCATAGGGGTCTTGTCCCACATCTGGTACGGATCGGGAGGGTCTTGGGCTTATAAGAACGGGAAGGCATCACCACCTAACAGCTAAAACTATTGGATTGGAAAGCAAGCGCCCGGCCCGTCACAAGTGGTATTAGAGCTAGTCCAGTCCCTTGTCTGGTTTCACACCAAGGGCCCAGACAAGATGTGCAGGTCGTGTCAAGGTCGTTACCGGGTGCCCCTACTGCGACGAGGGTGAAACGAGTTGGGGTGGGAAAGAATGCCAAAGAAGTCTTGTCCTACGTCGGGTACAGACAAGGAGTCTTGGGCTTATAAGGGTGGGTAGGCAGCACCATCCTTTTGGGTCGGATGGCAAGTGGCCAGCCCATTACACCTAACCTTAGCATTATCTACACAAAGTTGCATTCTCAAGTATGATAGGTACCAAGCAATTAAAATTAAAAAATGAACATGTATTTCCAAATAATAAACTGGAACATTTTCCACAAGATTTATTCAAGCTCAAAGTAATTTGACAATTACATGATGCTGGGAAAACCAATAATTACATGACTTTGTTGAACCCTAATAATTACAACTTTCAGCATCTATTTGAGCCACCAGCAAAAGTCAAGCATTTCATAGTCCAAGATATTAATAAATGAAAAATGCATGAACCAAAAAAAAAAAAAAAAATTGAAACTTAAGGATGAGTACAATTGTGGTGCAAGTAAAAGGAGATTTAAATATTAAATACAAAGAACAGGTTACAAATTTTATGAACTTCCAAAATCGTATTTTCTAACAGGTTACAAGTTTTATGAACTTCCAAAATCGTATTTGCTATTGTGGAGGTCTGAAAAAAATAATTTTTAACTGAAAACTATCCCCAATCAGGATGACTGCAGATATCAGCATATGTTATTAGTCAAAGAAAAAAGGAATGCTATAAAAAAATATTTAAGTGAAGTCGCTTTCCTTCTATCGATCTAGTGAGGAGTTGAGAGCTGGCAAATAGCCTGGAAGTTGAAACACAAGGAGTCAAGGACCCTAACCACTAAGTGACAAGTAAAGGGTTATCATGGTCAAAGGTTCAGATGCAGTTAAAAAGACCAAGTTCAAGCTTGAGAGATGATGAATAGAAAAAACAAGAAGGCCAAAAGGGGTTTTCAGTTGATATTTCTGGTTCACTTCTACAAGTTATTTAAATGCTTTTAAATTAAATTGCTTTCCACAGTTTCAGGGCAAGATTTCTTTGACTTGCCAAATGCAGACTTATACCATAATTACTTTGCTCTATATCTTGCTGTTTTAGGCATTGCAGCTCTTTTTCAAGATCAAACAAAAGCCTTGCAAATATCATCACCACCTTTATCCCAAACGAATGGAGTTGGCCACATGAATTCTCCTTTTCCACTCTATTCTATTACAAACCGCAAATGTTCTTACTGTCATATGCATAACTATTAAAATAACATTATCATAACAAAATTTAATGAAAAAGATCTATCTTTAAACAACCGTACTGACTAAACAAATAATATGGCCATTGACCATCGAATTAGGATTGTGGTTATTTGCCCCCATAGAAAAATATAAAATAAAGATCAAAGTAAAAGGAGCATCATAGTTCAAACATGTAGAAAGGTATTTCTTCACTTAAGTTGCTTCTTAATTTTTTGCTTATACGTAGTAGTAATTTGTGATTCTTCTATGAAGGCAATAAATAAATCAAACTTACCAAGAAAGGCTTTTGCAATATGATTACAGATGGTGCCTCCACCACCTGCAACTCAATCTCTTTGTTTGTGATGGGCTGCAGGAAAGAAATATATCAGATGCTAAACAAGATATCCATTTAACATGCATATGTGCCAAAAATAATCTTACAGAAGGACTTCACATTTGGAGAAGGTTAGCAATTCCATGAACCAAGTGGCTCACTTACCTTAATTTTCCTAACTGAAAGAAGGAAAGATGTTAGTTTCTTCTACTGCCGCCCTTTGATCCCACCTCGCTAATGCATTAAGGGGAAAACTAACGAGGAGAGAGAATGGTGAAGGAAGATAAGGTGGGAATTTGAGTTGCATTTTTAAGAAGCAGACAGGAAAGCACAAATCAGCTTGTAGTGAGCCACAAAGTAGAGCACCAATAGCTCAAATATTCTCCAAACAGCTCTAAACAACAGATGAGAAAGGACTAAACAGCTCGTAATAAGCAACAAACTTAAAAAGTGGTGGTTCGAAAATTCTCAGAGAGAGTAATATATCTTGAATTCAATTACATTATCCAAATGAGCAGATAAGAACATGCAAGTCAGCTTGTAATAGGCCACAAAGTTGAGCAGGCAATGATTCAAAGATTCTACAGAGGGATCTTGGCAACTTGTGACCCAACACTGTTGAGAGCAGTGCTCAAAATATTTTTAACTTAGTTTTCACCAGTGTTCCTCCAATGAGAGAGGTTTTTCAAAGAGTTCAATTGAACAGAAATGTAAGTGAGCTTTGGTGAGAGGTTGGTTTTGGCCTTTCTTCAGGTATTCTGTATATTCTGGAGAGAGAGAGAGAGAGGATTACAAATTCAGAATACCCTTCTACCTCTTCATATCCCCCCCCCCAAAAAAAAAAAAGAGAGAGAGAGAGAGAAAAGAAAAGATTGCCTCTTCTAAATTTGCAGGAATGTGTAAATACATGCACACACATCTCTAGGAGTTAAGTTATTGCAATATGATTCCAGTTGCAACCTAAAACTCCATGACTTCAATCTAAAATTATGAGAGATTGTCTACCATATGACCAGCTACAATTCACAACAATCTTCAGCAATGTTATGACCGTCCCACTTCCTCAGGTTCTGTCTTTAAGCTTGTAGGACCGCAAGCACGCACAAACACAAAAAGACAAATCACATGAACAATACAGTGATAACTTTTTCTTTCAATTTTTTTTATTTTAATAATATATCAGAAATGCAGAAAGGAAATTGTTTGAATATGCCAACAATCAGTAAAATGAAGCTTTCCTCTCTCAGATTGTATATAAGAACGATCACTTACACTACCAAGAATCTGCTGTGTCTGCAGCCGCCCAGGTTCACCCAAATTTGTGCGCCATGTTATCTGAAGTTTACCGAGGATATTACTTCCCTCAACTTTCATTTGTGCAGACCCAAGCGAAGACAACTTCAACTGATAGAGATAGTTGTGAATCCCTCCCCCAGATTTGATGAGAACAGGTGGCTTGAATATTTCTCTGCCAAAACAAATTAACGTCAAATAAAAATTAATAAGAATAGAGGTAGTACACAAAAACCAAGTTGCATAGCACGTTTCTAATGAAAATAAAGCTGTAATATACATAATAGTTGAATAGTATATCAGTCGCACCACCTAGGCTTATCAGTCACTGAATGGTGATCATCAGCTTTAAGTATTGTTGCACTCCAATGCTGAGCTGGCTCAAACTCAACTTGGTCCATATAAAGGTTCGATTTTGTATGATTTTCAATGCAAGCCTCCAAAAATGTAGTTTCCTGAGATGAAAGGGGATGTGGCTATCAAGCCTATCATAGAACGGATAAGTCTTCAAAGGCGCCATAATTAATTTCAAAGCTTCAATCCCTTACAGCAAAGTACATATGAAATTTAAACTGACCATTCAGCGAACATTTACTATGGACTTGCTGTCTTAAAAAACATAATTTCCAAAACAAAACAAACAATAAAAGATGGAAACAGTAAAAACCATTTAAATAATTTTCACAAGAATTTTCACTTAGCCTATTGGACATGCTGAAATGTATACACGAAACAAGGTATCACTGAAGTGAAAGTTTCAAGCACAAACAAAAGGATCAAATAGAAATCCAAGCAGCTGAGAAAGTCTTTTATCATGCTCAGAGCAAGAGTATAAATGTTCAGTCAACCTTTAAATATTGAACATGGAAATATCAGGACACCTTCTTCTATGGCCTACAATAATGTTGCAAGCAGGCAACCCATCTCCTACCCAAATTCTGAAGTACTAATTCCAAAAGTTTAAAGGCCATGAAAGCTTCCCATTTCACTTTTGGAAATCCAATATACCTCATGTATATCTAGGCAAGATTAATGGACTTACACCCAAAAAAATTTAACCATCATCAACCTACCTTGACAGCGCGGACCTGCACAAGTTAAAGAAATAAATATCATGTTAGTAAAAAACAAATAAAACACAAAACAATGATGTGAATAAAATATGTTTACCAGACAGAAAACATTCCACCGGCATTAGTTATAGACAGTCATATCTATAAAAATAAATTCGTTTTAACATAAAATTTGTTTGGCTTGTTCCTAGCTCATAGGGTGATACCTTTGTCCTGACTGAAAGTGGATTCGAAACGATGAACTTGAAGAATTGCGGAAGATATTTACGCTCAGCATCCCCATCATTATACAAAGCAGTGCAGACCAGCCTAAAGATGGTCGAGCAACAGAACATGGTCAGATTACAATACAGTTGTTTTACGAATAAAAGGAGACAAGAAAGAGAAAAATCTTGAGAAGCTAGTGATATATAACTTACGTGTGTGCACCAAGTTCTTTCACATCATGTTCAACAATAAAATCATAACGTCCTCCTGCACGTATTGATTCAACGGGTGATTTTGATGTATCTAAAAGCATTATTCTCTGTCTTTCTGTTTGAATTTCTGCCTGCAATAAATCGACAACTCACTGCTCAAGTGTTGTGTTTGTATCAAAGGAATCTAAATTTATGCTAGCAAACAAATAGTAACAAACTACCTTTTTTCCAACACATGCAAGTACAATCCATGTACATATGGAGACTAAGATAAGTTTTTTCTCTTGAATTTCTTATGGTTTTAGAGGGTAGAATGAATTGTGTAATAGGATAGACTTCCATTTTGACACTAACTTGTAGAAACTAAACAATATATATATATATATATATATATATATATATATATATATATATATATATATATATATATTTTCTTACATTTATAAACTTCTCTCCTTGTTTTTATTCTTTATTTGTCTATTCTGTCTAATTTCTTACAATCTTTATATTTCCTTTTTGTAATTATTATAAAGATTAAATTTTTACTAGAAAAATGTAAACATGACACATTGAGATACTAAAATTACGCTAAATTAAATAGCATAAGTGCCAACAAAAAGGCTTATATGAAGGCCATAGTGCAGTAGAAATCCCAGGGTCAAGCTCAACAACACAATGTATAAGTACCACAACTGGAAGGAAACCAATAGCGCAATCAATCACCTTGCATGCTTTGTCATAGCCAATGGTGGCAATAAATAGAAGTCAAGGGGTTTATAATAGTCATCTGAAGCTACTAAAAGCCATTATTAAGTACCAGACCAACGATGCTACAATACGCAGTGACTCATGCTTCAAATATGCTATCAACATATTTTTAGTGTTAACAATTTCATGTTTTTTAACATTACACCACCACTTTATTCTTACTCATATTAAAAGTAAAAAATAAAGAATGTATTGTGTTTTATCAATGTCTTACTCAATGGGTATCATAATTCCCAATTCAAAGAACTTCGGAAGTTAATTTCAGTTAAATTCTCCACAAAGAATTCGTATTAATCAGTTAAATAGTACTATTTCAACAATGTATCTGAGTAATCACCTTAATTATAACGTCCCTGACTTCAAAATTGGAACTGTTGTTGATACTAATGTAGCTGCAAAATGTCTCCCCCAGATGAATTGCCCTGCCAACCAACAACACAGATCAAATCACAATCAGATTCATCAACATATATATATATATATATATGACATATAAATGTGTATATATATGTATATAGAGAGAGAGGGAGGGGACCCACCCGAAGGCTTGGGGGAGAACGAGGAGGCCAGGGAGGCCCATGGCGTCGGAAGGATCATGGAGGAGGAATCTGGCGCGGTAAGTGAGATCTGAGTCGTTGGATTTGGTGTTGACGTTCTGAGTGCTGAGGAGACGAGGAAGGTGTGCGGCGGCGACGTCGTCGTCGAAGAGGTCCTCGCCGGCGATGAGATCGCAGGGATCGAACAGCAGAGGCGTTTCAACGTGAAGCGCCGGTCTGCATAGTCTCATCACCCGGAAGGCCAACGAGTGCGGACCTGGCGTGCTGCTCATCTCTCTCTCTCTCTCTCTCTCTCACACACACACACACACACACACTATATATCCACTAAATTGAACATAGATGAGTGCGCTCAAAGTTCATTTGAACTTGCACGCACAGATATACCACCATTGAGTATTGACCATACCAATTTGGATTTTGGTCAATTAATTGGGATGGGACCAATACGGAGTCGGTTGTTCCAATGGTAGGGTAAAAATTTCCAGCGCAATTCTATTCCCAACACATTTGCTCTATCTCTATTCAATAGGACATGGGTTGCAATTTGGAACGAATGTGTCATTATTTATAGTTTTAAGCATTTACATGCTGTTTCATACATTTGTTCCATGAAAATTGTTTTGAAATATTTAACAAATGTGTTAAACATGATTTATATATATTCAAAAGTAACAGAGAAGATTCCAACTCATACAAAATAACCTACCGTGTATGATATTTTAAATTATCCCCTTTTTGATAATTTTGAAATGTCTATTAAAATTTGAATGAATATCTAACGAGAGTATAAACAACGTCGTAATAGAAAAAATATCATAATACATTCAGTCCTAATAAGCTAATTGCATTCACAATCTCAGTTAGTTTTGAATACATTAATTACTTTGAGTTTCTATTTTTACGAGACTCTACTAACATTATTTTTTAGACAAAAATACCCTTTTAAATTATCTAAAAAGAAAAAAAAATATAGATAGGATAATTCATTCACAAGAGATGGATGGATTCGGAAAAAAATAAAAGAAAAAAAAATCCAAAAAAAATAAAAAAGAAAGGTAAAAAAAAATCGATTATATATTTCTTCCTTTTTTGTTTTTTTTCATATATATATATTATATATGTGTGTGTTTCTTTTTGTTTTTACTTTTTTTTTTTACAACTATCCTTGTATAAATGGATTTAACAAAAAATAGAAATAAAAGAAAAGGAAAAAAAAATTTCACCAAAAAAGAAATATATCTGTATATAAAACTAATTTACTAGTTATTATTATATATTACGCACACATCTCTATATCAATCGATTAAAAGAGGAGAGATGAAGAAAGACATAATTTAAAAGGGTATTTTTGTCTAAAAAGTAATGTTAGTAGAGTCTCATAAAAATAGAAATTCAAAGTAATTAATGCATTTTAAACTAACCAATCCTAACTGTGACTGTAATAGGCAATCGCTTGCGTGACTACAATTAGCACTCCTCCTGAAATTGTAAGGGGTGCTTAGGTTGATTCATATGTTTGTGATTTAATGATTAATTGGGTGGAGTAAGATTGATCATACACACAAGTAGAAGTGATTAAAGATACATGAATAATAATTAAAGCAAGACATTAATTTTAACATGTCTTTTATGTTACTTGGCTTAGTATGACATATAGTTAAAGTCTACATCCACGCCTCAAGATGCCTAGAGGATTCTCAAAACTACTTCGAATGATAAGAATGATCTTCAAGAGTATTCTCAAAACTACCATGAATGATAAGAATGATATTCAAGTGATTAGTTCACAGTTTCATCTTTTAAGCTCAATGCTTATCTAGTGTCTACCAATAAGATATGATCAAGTGTATGCATAAGTGGTATATCTCATTGAGTGCCAGTGGCCTAACAGTATCAGATCCTTAACTCCTAAAGAGATGTTAGAGATTCAAACATCAGTGGAGACATGTATATAAGTACTAGCTACGAAACAGAATAAGTAGTAAATCTCCCTAGTAAATTATCCATATGAGGAGTAATTATAGTCCATTTTGAAAAATAGCTGTTAGAAACATTCAGCAGTCGACTGGTTTTGATAGACCAATATGTTAAACCATGTATATGAGTCAACCGGCATTCTTCAGATGTGAGAGATAACACTGCGCCTAAGTCAATATTGACTTGGGCTTATGGTTTTTAGTCCAATCCATATTTTAATAACAAGCTTTTTAATGTTATCCGAGTAAATATTTCACATTTGATGCACCGAAAAAAAAACCTGACTACAGATAGCATTGGAGGATACTGGTTCAAAACGTGAGAGCAATTACTTTGTTGAACTATATTATAAGCGAGACTAATATTGAATGGGATAATATATTCAAAACCAGCATTCACTTGATCATGCTAAGGTATAGTATCTCATAATGTACAACTGCTCTACCTCCTTACAAGTTATAGCTAGTGAAGAAAATCTCCCGACAACTAACAGAAGTGAGCATACAGTTCTGTCATGGCATGATCTCAAGGGCTTCCACAACTTCAGAAAGCAGCCTCTTGTCAACGCATCAAACCTATCAAAACGAGCCCCACAGGAATCTGCAGGGTTGAGCAGCAGCGCAATGTCAGTGTTTATGCAATACTTTGTCTTCGGAAGAATTTTCAGGAACTTCTATCATGCTTCTGATTGTAGTAGTAAATTAGCTTCAACCAGCAACTGCTAAGCGGAACATATCCATTTGATTTATCAGGCATGTGGTGACCAGAATCAATCCATTAAACTTATGCACAGGAATATACAACCTGCAATGTTGACAATATAGGTTCAGCAAAAGGCAATAATTCACACTGGATCAGTTGCAAAACATTATGAAGACCTTTAAGCAGGGAAATAGGAACATAATCAAGATCCAGAGTTTTCCTCGAGGTGAAAGTGAAAATTAGAGTTCTCACAAAGTAGGGGCAAGAATGACCTATATTGCTCGTGCATGTAAATTCAGCTAAACTTTGTTATTTCGTTCTCCAAGACAATCTCAGTAACCAATGTGATGTACAACTGGTAGTAGCTACCTTTGAGAACAAGGAAAGAATACTAATATCAAATTTAAGTATGACCTATGATGTTATTTCTAGAAGTTCCCAAACAAACTTACTTTTCAAATTTTCTATGGTAAAGCTAAAGGAAGAATACTAATGTCATTTTTTCTCCTCTCCTGTGACTAGAAATCAAGATCCATCGGAGAGTAGCAGTAATGTCATTGGATTATGTGCTTTAAAGGCCCGACCATCATGTCGTAGCTCCTAAGAAGCCACAAAGTATTGACTATAATGAAGATCAATCTCCCCCTTAGTTCATCTGTAACCAATAACGCAGTGCCACATCAAAGTATGGAGTTCGGTTAGTCATTATGCTACAGAATTAAAAACTCTAAAAAGTAGGAAAAGACCACAAAATTTATGGAACAAGAAAAATAGTCCTTTCATACACTGTAAAAAGGCAATATAAGGTATCACCAGATGAACAGGAGAGAATCTCTAGTCTGAGAATTACTGCACCAGTATGTATGCAAGTAAAGAAGGGATAAGACCTTTAAGTGCATGACATCAATTTCCGCAGAAATAACTTCATTGCAGATATACTTCGTCTTTCTTATACCATTTTCTGGTCTACTATATAAATGTCCAGCTCAGGACTTTTCCTCAAGTGAGTGCTGCGAACCCACCTTTAACAGAAAAGACACGATGTAATCCTCTATACAACTCGAACCCATGTTCCACCACACATCGGACAGCCATAAGCCCAGCGGCTGATCCACCAACTCTCCCTGTCATTCTGATTAGGTGGATTGTTGGTACCTGGTGAAGCGAAAGCTGAACTCTGCCGTAAACATCTTATGCACTGCATTACAAAAAGGTCAAAACTACACAGAATTAGAAAGGGAGGAGAATGCAAAGACAAAAAGACAAAATTTCAACCAAAAGAGAACTGGCGTAAAGCAAGCAATGCAAGCAGTAAGACACCTTGCTGATTTTCCAAAGACCAGTTTAACTTCAGCAAAATTTCCAAGTGTTGGAATAATTGTAGCAGGTTTCAGACAAACAACAAACAAGAAGCCAATAAGAACAGAAACACCTTGCTGATGTAGATTTCAGGCCAAGAATTTTAAATAAATCAGAGAAACATTGAGCCCCCCCGTCTCTCCCTCCTATTTTTCAGTGTAGGGGTGGGTGGGTGGGTGTGGGTGTGTGTGTGTGTGTGTGTGTGTGTGTGTGTGTGGGGGGGGGGGGGGGGGGGGGGGGGGGGGGGGGTGGGGGGGTGGGGGGGGGAGAGCATTGAGGCTCTTTGCTTGTATAATAAACCTACCATGTCTACTTATAATCTAGGTCTAGCGAGGAGCCTCCCATGCCAAACATTTTACATGCTGCCAAATAATAACAACTAAAGTAACATGACTTCCAACTAAAGTAACATCACAACTAAAGTAACATGACTTCCAATGCATGATAGAAACAATCCAGGAAATATTAATTGCCTCAACACATATTGTAGTTCAGAAAATCAACTGAATGAAATTGATAATTACTTAACTCATTGCCTCGCAAAGTGAACAGCTCACTGCAGTATTTGTTCAAACAAAGATATTGAAAGTCCACAGCAAACAAATTGCTCAAACTTTTTTCTGTTTTTCATTTCTCAGAAAACTAGACAAAGCAAACCAATACAATATCCTCCGAGAGACAGGTTTCGAAATTTCTCCCATGTTTGTAAGCATTTAATCAGTAATCATCAAACAGATGAAAGCAAATAAAATAATGAACTACTGACAATGAGGCCAGAGAAACCAACAAAAAAAGTAGTAGCAGAGTTTATATCAAACCTTGAACCAGACTCCTTCAAGACCAGTCTTCCACACAGCAGTTATAACATCCCTTCGAGATCCCATTATACCAAGATATGCTCCCAGACCCACCGTAGTGTTCAAGCCAAAAGCTGCATCTCTTTCAGACATCCTGCGCTTCCTTGGCCACAAGCCATGGGCTCCATGATTTACATCACAATTTTCTGAATAGTTCAGCTCCTGTGGGTCAGTTAAAGAGGTAAACCTGGAAGTGTCATCCATAGGACTCATATCCTCTGAATCAGACCAGGGCCCACCGAACATATTCCGCCTGTGCCATTCTTCAGCCGGAGGATGTAGTTCTAACTCACGAAGTAACAGTCCAGCAGCATCTGCACCACGAGGCCGGGGCATATTCTGTATGGAAAGCCCATTAGCCAAAGGAAAGAAAATTTCAAAAGCTGATGCATTCCATACCAACAAAATGTGACATTAAAATTTCAAACATAGATTTAAGGCAGTTTAGATAAACCATGAGTCAGGACTAGGTCAATATCAAGTCACAACATCTAATGCCAATGCATGAAAAATTCCATTACATATCCAAGTATCCAACCACTGAATGGCAATATAAGATTCTTACAGAAAGCAGGTAGAATAATTTCCTCTTTTTTCTTACAGAAAGCAGGTAGATCATCAGAGTTTCTCCAGATCCATCTAATAATTCCGGATACAATTACAGATTTAAAAAGAGAGATGTACAGATCCAAGGTATGCATTTTACAAGAATATCACCTGACTGCAATTGAAAAATACCCACAAAGTGGTTATCGGCTAACCACTTTCAATTTACAAAGAATAAATCTTTGTGTGGTCTGATAATATAGCAAGCAGATTAAAAAGAAAAAGCTGAAAGCTAAAAAAAGCAAATGAAAAAATTCCACGCTGCAAGTGTGACTGACATGTAGTATAATGCTCCCAGTAAGAGTCGTCTACCACAAAGTTTATTGCTGATGAGTGATGGCTGATGGTAGTTACCTGCATATGTGGGCCGAGTGATGCTTCCACAACCTCTGGTAAGACGGTATAGTTTCCATCAATGTAATGCAGGCGAACCTGGATATTGCTGCTCCCCACCTGAGAAACTGGCAAGGGATGTGCTAAGCCCGCGGTTCGTCGACAGAGATCCATAAGTATGAGGAAAAGGACCTTCACCTGCATAGCAGCAAGACCAATCGTATTAGAACCCCAGTGCAAAACTAGGCTGTCCTCACTAATTGTTTAAAGGATATGATCACCACAAGTGCCTAGGATTTTCCACACCCCAAGCACCCCTCCCCCACCAACCCCACTTTTTTTCCCCTTTTGCTGGTGTATCATTGTCTCAGAGCGAGTTTTATGAACTGAACAAAAGCCTTTAGCCACATAATGAAACTGAAAAGTTATTGAAGGTACTTATATTATTGCAAAGTCCGAAGTTCAATCATAACGGGAGCAGGTTTTACCTCCTCGAATGTGTAACCTTGACCAGCATTGCCAGAACCTAATCTTGACCGGCTAACAGGACCTTCTTCGGGTCCTTTAGTTCCAGAGATGACTTGACCAGCCCGAGCTGCCTGGACTTCCTCTGACCTAACCATAGTTGATGTTGATTTTGTAGGCATAGGATTGATCTCTTCTACCTTTCCCGGAACACTAGACGGATGTTTCTGCGTAGTTGTATCAGCATTTCTCTGAGAACCTCCAATAAAGCGGGGCAACTGTGTTCGACGGAAGAAGAAGCAGAAAAGCAAAAGTTGGCACAATCTATGTAGGAAATGGCAGTCCCCAATAAGCCTAACAGCTGGAGTTCCTGGAAATGTTCCTGTATTAATGCTTATTGGCATAAAGGACGGAGGACCACTAATAGGATTTGGGGTGGAATTGGAAACACCATCAGCAGTGCTACTAATTTTTGCAATAGCTCCTTGTACCCAAGCTTGCATCTGAGTGCTTCCAGTGGAACTAGCTGTACCACCTTGACCTCCTGGGCAATCACAGTAGTCATTGTTTGAAAAAAATGAGTTAAATGGCACATTCATGATAAGAAAAAGTGGAGAAAAGGTAAAGAATAGTACAATATTCCACTAGTTGAAAGGAAATTGTATTGATGTGAATTAATGGAAATCAAACTGGCACTGTAAAAGAAACCCTTTAACATTATAAAATCAGAAGACGTGCACAGACCCTGACTCGTTGCAGTCGATCCAGAATTTTGGGTAGGACTAGCCACCATACTCCGGTTGCCACCTGTGCCTGCAGTAACAGCATGACTTGCCAAAGTACGGCAGAAACTTGCATAACGTCGCAAACGTGTGATGAAATGTGATGCTAGATCAAGGACCGCATCAACATAAGCCTGCGTTTAATTGTTTTAAAAATTAAAGAATGACACAAGACATCATATATTTTGAATTTTGTTTTTGTTTTTTTGAAAGGTAATATATTTCAAATTTTATGTTAAAAAGAAACGAAAGAATTATACAGGGGAAACAGTAAGTAAAAATAAAATGAAAAATGAGCCAAAAGGAAACCTGGATGCTTAAAACTAGTGCTGGTTCAACAGCCATTGATTCAGGATCAATGCCAGATAAGGTTTCACCAGATGCTTGCCATGGCTCAGCAACCAAAGCTGAAGGATTTATCAGAGCTGATTCAATTCCTTTTCCCAGCATATCCAGCAACAACCTTGCTTGCATGTCTAGGACCATTGCCCTAACCTCTTGGGCATTAGTACCTTCCAACAGCCGGCACTTTATCCGGTCTAGACTCTGAGATGAACAGAATCAAGTTTAGTAGAGCAGAAACAGAGCTGTAAGAAAGTACTTTCGTTAACACATGTTTAAGTGACACTGTGTGTGTGTGTTGTTGCAGCCTTGTAAAGTTGGAGGGAACCTATATGAATGGGAAAAAGACAACCAAGACTGATCATCGACAAAAGTTAGGCACAAAAGATGAGTCGGGGACCTTTGGGTTAACATAAAGCATCCAACACAGCCACCCCACCCCATCAGGGTGCGGCTCTGCCCACAGAAAATATGAACAATTAAGAAAACAATAGGCAGCATCTGAGCATCAGATAGCAGGCCAGCCTGGTCCAGAATCTCCAGATACCTCCTGTTTCTATTGCAAAGGCTCCAAGGGCCAGCAACGGAAGAAAATTTACAGGCTCAAGTGAACTTTCTTGAATATTTCACAAGTTTTTGGCCCCTGATAGGCTTTGAACTTAGTGTTGGTAGATTCCGTAACAAAAAGCAGAGTCTGCAACTTATGTTTTATTTTCAAAAGTTAGTTTAGTTAGTTTGTGGTGGTACATATGCCCAAGGGTAGAATAGGAATTAAAGATAAATAAAGGGCAAAATGTTAAAATTACCTCTTAAACAACTCACTCACCAATTAGGGTTCATAATCATGCATTCTCTTCATGACCCATTTTAGGGGACAGCATACACAATTTGATTCATGAAAAATATATTCTGAATGCATGAAGTTGTTTTTGGAATAATATATTTAAAGAAGAAATTTCTTACAAAAACAATAAGCATCAATCGATGACAATTTCACGAAAACATTTATTGAAGTCCAAAATATCTCGATGGATCAACCCTGGACTATAGTTGTCCTTTGATAGCTCAATTTGATCAACCTGTAAACGAATCATTTTTGAAAACTTCTCTAAATCAGTTTAGATTTCTTTCTCTAATTATAACTAATAAACCCTAACTCCTTTGGACTCAAGCACTATATAAACACCCTCTAGGCTCTCATAACACATACACATACATAAATAGACAGATCTCTATACATTATTTAGAGAGCATATTTTTATTTTCATTATCTAGTATTTTGTATTAGATGGTGAACTATTTTTTATCATCAAAATCCTTGTGCTACACAGAGGACCAAAGTGTTTTTGCACTACAAACACAACACCTGAATGACTAACCAAATAGATCAAAGTGATTATGGCAAACTGATCGTGTGAGGAGCAGATTTGTTAACAGAACAGGTTGTGTGCCTGGAGACTTAATGCGTGAGTTTGGTTGACAAGTTTGTGACTCTGTGTCAAGAGGTATCTAGGAGGTTCTGGGATTTGAGAACTGTCAACACTTCTTTCACCTAAAGTGGATTTGATTTGTGTGGACTAGGTCCAAGTCTCGTGGTTTTCTCCTTTGGGATTGTCCATTGAAAAATCATGTGGTAATGTGTGGTCACTTGATTAATTATTTCTGCTCTCAATATTTCAATAAATGACATTGTTGTGTGACTAAATATAATTGACATAAGTTAAAATCCAATTTTTTAAAATTGAACAAAATCTATTCACCCCCCTCTAGGTCAAGGTCGCAACATTGCACTAACTCTCCATCAAAGCCTAGGGATCAGTCCTCACCCCATCAGCCCCTTACATAGGAGAAAACATCATAAGGTTTAAACAGATCTTCCAACCAAAAAGTTTCAAACTTCTGAATTTTTCAGTCATATGCTTTAGCCAGCCCTAGTCACGCCTAAGGTTCTGAAAAACCTATCAGATAAGGTAGTGGGTATCAAGTAAACCAAATCAAAGCATAGTAAGCAATCTAACTCAAATTTTGCATTTGAAAGGTGGGGTGAGTTGCAATGTCGAATTGTCAGCATGACTTGGTTTTCATATGGATACTTTCAATGCTTAGATAGCATGAAGCAGGCCAAGGCGTAGTCGATGGACAACAGTTGAATATTCCTGTACTACTCATTGTTGGTCCCGAGGGATGGAGGAGGCTAGGTTAGCCGAAAGATGGTTAGCGGTTCAAGCTTGTTTCTTTTTCTTGTTTGAGACAAGTCGTGATGATATTCATGGTGCTGTGAGATCATTCAGCTGTGAGGAAAAAGTTGGACTATGATGGAACCATAACTTCCACAATGACAAGATCATAATATGACATCAGATGACATTTTAGCATGAAACCATATTAAATTACACATAGGGTGAAAAATATAGAAATATATAGTACTTCTATATTTTATTCTCCAACAGGGGAAGCATAGAACACATTTTTTTCAGTAAATCAGCATAGAACACCTTTGTTACAAAATAAGCAATAAGGGTTAAGTGCATTAAACCCCCCTGAACAATTTTCTCTCTCCCAAGAAACCCCCCTGTACTATAGTTATGACCCTTAACCCCCTAAACTATTTTGTTTGTTGCAAAAAATCACATTCCGTTAATTTTCTGTTAATTCAACGACAGTAAACAGACTGTGCAAGTCATGTGACCAACTAATCTTTTAAAAGGCATTATTACCCTTGCCAAGCATAAGCTTATGAGTTATGCCCAAACACAGCCTTATGCTCACTGTTCATCTTGTTCAGCACACGACTCACCCTTGCCAAGCATAATACTATATATACAAATACATATACATAATTACATATACATCCCTCCTTTCTCTCTCTCCAACCACCTTAACATCCATGGCCGCCACCTCCAATCCTGAGATTTTCTTTTGCTGGCGAGATTCGTCAACCTCCAATCCATTGCGAAAGTGTGGCAATGCCTAGGGTTTTAAAACCCATATCCTGTAAAAATAACTTCACCCAATTCATGTTATGATTAGAAAAAAATAAAAACAAAATCCACCATGCCTGCTTGTAATTCCGTTCCTTCCATCATCGTCTTCTTTTACAACAAAACAGCATCTTGATTCCAATCAACCCCAACATTATTTTCTCTGCCAAACTTAAAGACCAAGTTCTGGCTTGCAATATTTGGGTTTGTTTTCAGCATATGATGCCATCAATGGAGAGAGACCCATTACGGACCAAATCCAATTAACCCCAATATACAACATGTTCAAATTGGAACCCATTTTGGTATTTTGATGGTATAATTTCACAATTTCCTTTCATCTACTTCAATGTCTTGTTGGTACCAAGAAATATTAGTGAGGGGAAGAGGAGGGGTGGAGAGAGAGAGGAGGGGTGGTGGTGGCCGGATGGACATGGCTGCTGATCTTAAATATATATATATAATTCTCCATTCAGTGAGTTGTCATTCTCTTATTGATGGAGAATATTTTTGTCCACTTCAGCAAAATAATTCTGAGTTGTCCAATTTTTATTGGACATAGAAATTACAATATCCAAATCAACATCTCAACAACAAAAATCTACTAATATGAAGTCCTTCAAAAAAAGGGCTAAATGGTAATTTCGTTTTTCTGTTAACAGCTACTTGACGGTTGGTCACAGAGTGCAACAAAATGATAGGTCAAGGAGGTTTTACTTACTTTAGGGGGGTTTCTTGCAATTGGGTCATAGTTTAGGGGGATTTAGTGCACTTAACCCTAAGCAATAATTTTTGGATGGATTAGAACCTAGATACCTAATCCGTTGGGGGTAGGCTTGAATTCTGCCACCATCCTACAGATTAGCAGATTGTGAAAGAAATCCCACAAATCCACAATCTTACTATTCAAGCTCAATGCCTTGATGGCAGATTGGAGCAATTTCATGTTATTTTGGTCACCTTTCCTGCTGTACAGTCTTAAACATAGCACCTCAATATTGTAACAACCATCTTATACTATGGCCCTCAACTGATTCATGACAATGTTAAGCGAAAAACTAAATCCATTACCTTTCCACAATACACATAATATGCATCAATAATATGCATACTGTAACCTCATGTATACTATTAAGGAAATTTTTAATTAAACCAAGAGACATGAGATTCCAAATAAAAACTATATGTATGCACACACTATAATCTACCTTATACCTTTGCATAAATTCCTCGCCCTTGAGACAACAGAGTTGAGGAACTTCATAAGTATTACAAACATTATAGATATGTGTTATATAGATATTATAGGCCCGCATTGACCTTCAAAACAAAAACTAAAAATCTATAAATGCAAATCCAAAGATGCTCTAATTCTCTGGACTAAGGCACATTTTGAAAACAGATGCTTTCTCGCCCTCACTCCAGCTTTATGTACCCTAGGCCAGAACATTTTCCTTTGGAAGGTAAGGTTAGACTTGGCTCAGCCTAGATTACTGATAACTGTTGCAAGTAACTAATCACTTAAGCACGCCGCATGTTATTTATAGAAAAAGAAATTTACAAGTATAACATAAAAGAAGAAACTCTACAAACCAGTGTCCATAATATAAATAGTATATATAATCAAATTTCTATAATGAAGCTAATTATTTCAACATAAACACCATGGAACATGGAGATGGCAAGAGTTCGAGGAAACATACAGGACCATACTGTTGTCTATGCGGAGTGGAAGGAAGAGAATGGAAATCCGCATCCAACACTGCGATAACACTGTTCAGTGAAACTGAAACAAAACAAAAACACTCTTATCATCAAGTGGTGAAGTTCATCTCGAACCAAGGGTATATATGAATGAAAATACGAAGAGATTTTGTTTATGTGCAATTTTCTGGATCCATGATCACCAGCATGTGGTTATAAATTCTATCTTCGTCCTCATTTCACTAATATAGTAATATACAGATTTTCACAAAAATATTATCTCTTCCCTAAAATTCTATATAACACTTAAAAAAGATACATCATCGAGCATTGAGCTCAAATCCTCCAAATAAACTACATAAAACAAAGGATGGTCAATATTGACCAAAGATTTTCAAATTGGAAATATACACAGATGAAATAAGATCTAGTGACTGCGGGCAAACCTAAAAGAGCACCAACACTATCCCTCATTCCTCGTATTAGACCAACACTATTTGGAAGAAGCAATTAAGAAGATGATCTTGCTAAAGAATACTCAAGAGGCAACAATATAGAAGTTCAGCACAACTTTGTACGTTATAAGATGCACAAAAACTATAACCTCTCTATCTTTTATATATTTATAACCAGTAGAACAGTTTCAGATCACAGTACCAGTTATGCAAGAGTCCTGATTGTAAAGTAACAGTATGAAAAGCCTCGGGCAATGCGCAATAAGAATTGGTAGACTACAAAAGGCAATTACCCAATATATGTTCCGCTCCCTCCTGTGCAAGGTGCTGGGAGGAGAGAGTAGGGATAGACTTAAATTTTGGCATTATTTTGGCCAAAGTGAGCACTTTGTCACTAAAACTCGAATCTCACGCTTGTTAGCCCGACGATGCATTTTTTGTAACTATAGCAACCCACTAAAACATCAATGTTACACTTGTTTTGACAGCATATTATCATATTTATATCGTTCTAATTATTCTTGTCAATGATATGACACCTAGAAAGTTGTTTTATTTATTACATTGGACTTCTATGAAGAACATTTCACTAACACAAAAAACCATCTTCTATGAAGAACATTTCACCAACACAAGAAATATAATTTAAAAGGCAACTATAAGTAATCGATCATAAAAAACATAAAAAATAAAAAATAAAAAAAGATAACCAAATATGTGAATACCCTATTGATTCATGACTTCCACTCCACCATCAAAAGAAGTGGGGTCTTGACAATCCTAATCACCGTCCTAAATAAACATCTAAAACTAAACCTCAAAGAGCACCTCATATGACAGAATTGATTAAGCTGATAGCTTAGATAAGATCTTGTTGTTCTATCCCCCAAAGCAGTAGATGTAGCCTCCAATATGAGTTTGAGATCCTTAGAAGAGAGCAAAAAAGAATAAAATCTGAAGAAAGGATGGGGAAAAAAGAGGTTGGGTTTGCCCAAAAATCTCTTCTTTAATCATTTCTAGTCATTACACATGTAAAAATTACTGTTAGGATCGATATTGTTATATACCAGCTGTTATGGCCATTACATAACAGCCATAACCATTACATAAACATAATGCCGTGAATTTTACACACTTATAAATCAGAATGTAATCAACTCGGAGGGATTGGAGACGGTTACATCATGTCACAGCCAAAATTTTAATCTATGGTGGTAGACTAACTACCTATTGGAAGAAAATACCCCAAATTGTATATTCAAAAGTTCTAATCATGATAAGATCGGAAAGCAGTAAGCTTCTTGGAGGTGGTAAATGAGGTCAAACACTCTTCTGAGTTGTATATTCTTATAAAGCCATTGAGATTGAAACCTTAAAGATGATAAGTATCTATACCTGAAACATTTTGATCTTCACTCTATTGAGCTCAATGTTGGGTAAACACTAAGATTAAGAGAATTTGTTTAACGCAATATCATCGATTCATAAATCACACAACCATATCAATTAATTTAAGAAATCTTACCAATGCCGTCCTCAGCAGCACTCTGCGTACAGCCAACAGCATCCCACCAATCAACTCCGACCAAAAGGCTCCACCAAAACCTGCTTTGACAAAACAAGATGTTCAATAAATATTCATTTTTAAAAAAAGCATCATCACAAAAAACACCAAACAACTCCCACCAGACGCATGTCAGTAACATTGACATGGCAACATTAATTAACATTGCTACCTGGAATACAAAAGTTACTCCTGACAGGTATACAGAACCACATTTACGGAATACCTTTCTGCAATTGCACGTTCCCAAGTTGACGAGTTTGCTTTCACTTGACTACTCGGAACAGCAGGAGGAAGAACACGAATTATCTTCAATATAGTACGATCCTTCCCGGTATCATGCCAAACAGATGCTGAACAACAGCTTGTAGAAGAGAAGGCAGGAACAGCAATCGCAGAACCAACATTGATATGGTAGCTATCAACAGGAGTAAAGCTTGCTCCAGAAAAAATGTGGACCCCACCACGTAGAAATGAAACAGCAATCTCACCACCATTAGCAGAATACACAATTCGAGCGAGAGTTCTAACATCACTTGGCAGATCAAAGGGATCAAAACTGACCCTTTTTGCCTTCTCAACACCAGAATCAGATGTCTTTCGGGCATCAGAGGTTAGTCCAGCCAAAGCTGCTAGGTGACTTTTAAAATCATTAGTTGGTGGAATGCATTTATTCACTTTGGTCACCCAAACAGTCTGCACAGGTGGCTGCCCACCAAAACTGGAAGTTGGGTTTCCAAATATCTGGTGGAGGACAACAGGCTGCAGAGATGATTCCCAGCGTTGAACTCTCAATCCTGTGATTGAAGGTCCCTCATCTGGATCATATGGGGACATGTACTGCCCTGCATAAATAAAATCAATACATGATTAACTTCTAGAAAAGTAACAATCAGAAAAAGCAATTGACACTTGACAGTTTCAAACTCCCAAAGTCAACATCAAAGCCGTATCTATTAAATGAGTTTGTAACGGTTTAGTGAAGAACAAAAATAGATTGTCTTTCATTTATGTCAATGTGATTATATGCTTATGTGGAAGAACAACTGAAACGCGTCTTTGCAGTAACTTCATAGTAGTCAAATCAATGTATAGTAGCTACAACATGCCACAACATACAAAACAAGTTTACAAAACTAAAGAAACATGTACAGACCTAATAACAAACCTTTTTTTAAAAAGAAAGGTGAAATAAACAAATCTTCCAGCGCCTTAATATTAAATAAGATGTAATAATCCAAAATGGGCAGGACAAGTGTGGAAATGCATGAGAGAAAGTGACTTGGTTTGGTTATACATTTTTTAACGAATTTTGGCAGATAAGATAGTGAAGTGAGCTTCGCAAAATCTACGACCACAACTACTAACTTCACAAGGTCAACTTTACATTTTTAAAAGGTTTTTAAAGACGAAACCCATAGTGCAAAACATATGACGAAATTAAAACATCTACAACAGTGCATTGCATGAAATTGTGATAACTAATTGCACATAAAGGATAAATCGACAAACTTTCACTGTCTATCTTGACGAAGCTCTGCAAACGCATGCATGCTGCACAATATAAATGTTAAGGCAAGAGAACAATTGCTTTCTCAGAATCTCAGCATATTATTAAAGAAAATCATTTTTAAAAAATTCTGCTCCAAGTGGAAGTAGAAATCAGTACCCTCAACTATCACAACAGCTATCACAGACCCGCCACGAGTTGGATCAAAAGCAACTGCAGTAACTCCAGAACCCCAGGTAGTGGTTGCTGCTGATTGAGCTGCAGACTCAGGACTCACATATGCAGAAAAATTTGACACTGGTGAACAATGAAGTAATACTGTGTCGCTATAATATTGATATGAATGCTTTCTCCCTTGCTTTGCTTCTAATAGCAAATATTCTTGCCAGCTAAATAAATACGCAGCCAGAGGAGCAAAACCATCCCAAGGAGGATTGAGTGAAGGTGGTACTCCGTTGCTAGCACTTGCCTTTGGAGTTGCCTGAAATCCATTTCCAGGACCAGGTGTGACCTCCCAAACAACTACAGTTGATGGATTTACAATTGGAACACCTGCCACATGCAAAGCACCGGTATCTGTTATGATAGCATCAGCAGCCATGATCCCACTAGGCCCAGCTCCCAAGAGCCCTTTGCTCGTGCAAAACCATTTTGATGCTGCACCACTCTGATCAGGAGGCCATTGCGACCAGTGGAGTTGCACGGAGCCTGAAGAGAAAACGGAGCAAACACACAGAAAATTTGGCCATCCAGCTGAAACCAAAAACCAAAGATTGCATCAGATGACTATATTGTGATGCTTGAATTTGACAGAAAATTAATTCAGAAGAAAGGGGAAACCTATGGGGTAATTTCTAATTGATGAAAACAAAAGAAACAATATTCTCAACTGGCTACATGAATCAACTTGGACTCTAAATGGCAACGATTTAGAATCACCCATTCTGAGTTTTTTTTTTTTTGGATAAGTAAAATGTATTAAAGAGCGTTCAAAAGGGGAACGCATCCCAAACTATACACCCATTCTGAGTTATTGGAACCAGCAAACTTCACATGTTCTGAAGGAATGGAAAAAATTGAGCCAAGGAGATTACAAGCTCATGTTGATCCAAGCTAAGCCCACCACAGTCTATGCCTGCAAAGATCCTCGGCCATCACAGAGGCCTAATTCTATTTGGTGATGGGCCAGTCAGGGAACACCTGTTCTTGAACCCTTGACCATGCGATTGGTAAAACACCCATCAACTTCCAAACCTAATTATGGCCATAACTCCTCAGGTAAATCGATACACAATGTACAGGGATACAGCTCCACTTTTAATTCATATCAAGATCAGTCAGCATAGCAGTATAGCCCATGAAAGAAACTGCGAAGGTCAATATTTCAGGTTCTCCACCACCCTTAAACAGGTAAGGCATACAATCCAAAGACAACCGAAATAAACCCCCCCCCCCCCCCCCCCCCCCAACCAAACAAACAAAAAAACAAAACACACACACGCAGAAAAAACATAGTGATTGAAGAAACCAACCAAACAATACTTAATTCTTGACAAGAGTAAATAACATCAAAATGCTCAACATGAGAAACTGTGTTGATTCGTTGCTTCAATTTTTTAAACAGTAGTGAAAGGATCAAGCCTCCAGAATCAAAATCTAGCCCTAAGGACAAGAGCTGAGACCTGCCAACTAAAAAAGAAATCACCAGGGTGAACAGGAAAGACCTATCATTCCAAACTACAAGCATATTTCTGTCTACATAGCAAGATGAAGTAAAAATGAAAGCACAGGTGGCCTATGCCAGGGAGCATAAATACATAATAGGATAATTCCTTTTTTTATCCTTACACTACCACGATTCAACCTCAATGCCTTCTTCAAATATTCCATCCATGTTTCTATCAAGTGGAAAATTGCATTGCTTCCTAAAATAATTGCTCAATTCTTCAAGAATCAATTATCAACAGAACCCAACAGTGACACATTAACCAATGGTAGCATCTTCCCTTTCTTTTCTTTTTGATAAGTAAAGTAGTATAGAAAGCATTCAAAAGGGGAACGCGTCCCAAGAATACACAGAGGCCAAAGCCAAAGCCAAAAGAGGGTCCTAAGGACCCAAAGAGGCCAGAAATTCGACAATCTCCTCAATAGATGTACAATATCTGCCCATACCCCAACAAAAAATGAAGCCAATAATGCAGAATTTCAAAGTTCCTGTAGGAGACTCATCCCCATCAAAAGATCTGCTATTCCTCTCCTACCAAATGCACCACCAAACATATAGGGGAGCTACCCTCCAAAAGAGACAAGCGTGTGAACCCGCCCCACACCCTCTCCAAGAGTCAATCAAACCTCTCGCCGTCTGGGGCATAACCCACTGCACGCCAAACAAGCCAAAGATCATACTCCAGCAGTCGTGAGCGACAGGGCAATGCAACAGCGAGTGATCCACTGCCTCACCATCCTTTTTGCACATGCAACACCAATTAACTGTAACCTGCCTTCTTCTCCTTATGAGGTTATCAAGTGTCAGAATCTTACCCCAAGCTGCAGTCCAAATAAAAAATGCCACTTTGAGGGGAGCCTTTAATCGCCACACCGTCTTCCAAGGGAAATCAACCCGAGAAACCCCAGAGGCAACAGAAAAAGGACCGAACCTCAAATCTCCTGAGTAGAAGGCACCCAATAAAGGGAGTCCGCACCCAATAAAGGGAGTCCGGACCTCTGCCATCCAGCATCTGTCTATACAGCAGATCAAGAAAGTCAGAAACATCGTCCAATTCCCAATCATGAAGTGTCACCGAAAACGCACATCCCAAGTAATCCTTCCGCATCTTCCCTTTCCCCTTTCCTTCCCATGAGCCACAAGGCCTACAATTGCAGACAACTCCCCCTCGTGTACCCGTTGTGCTCAGCCAAACAAAGAACAAATTAGGCTGATCATGATGTGCCAATAATAAGATTATCCATCCCAGGTCCTCTACATAACTCCCAAAAGCAGATTAGTAACCATCCACACAGCTAAATCAGCAGCATATAAATGGATCTAATACTGCATAATCTTAACTTGCATTTAATTTGACCAATTAGTTCCCCGTGTTAAAAAAAAAAAAAAAAAAAAAAAACAATATAATTGTTTGCAAAACCATGCAAGAACAATTAGAGACCAGCAGTTAATAATATAAGCAAAAATAAAACTTGACCAGCTGCTGGGCTGGGTAATCGTTAACACTTAATCAAGTGCCAAGCTTGGAAAAGAAGGTTTAGTATAAGGACGGCCAAAACATATAAATAATGCCTGTTAGATATACAGATTATATACAGTCCACCCCCCTTAGCAGCAAGCAGCGTTAGGACAAACAACAGCTAATGGCCTTTCTTAATAACCAGACACGAGAACAAACCTGGAGCTTGAGGCTGCTGTGAAAGAAACTTTTCCTCAAAAGTTGACTTTGAGTTTGTGGAACCAATGGATCTTGATGTAAGCCACCTATACTAATTTTTAGAAGTAGAACAAAAGAAATAAGTGAATATTGACAATGAAGAAGTTTTCAAATTCAAGTAACCAGAAGAGATAAATAATTGCATACTGGAGACACCCCTGATAGCCACTTTGTAACAACTGCAATATCCTGCCGCCACTCATGCTCACGCTGCCAGCAACTAGAATCTCTGACCAGGTTTGCCGGCCCCTGAATAGTCAGACCAAAAGGAAAGCTCAATAAGCATATTTAATAATCTTGCAAAAGTGATTATTTCAGTGGAGTTCTTTAGCTTATGGGAAAATGCCAGAAAAAGGATGAAAAAGCAGTCAGTGTATGAGCCAATATATTTCATTGGATTGAATAGGAAAGCCATGTTAAGGACTTCTGCTATGGTGAATCAACAGATGCACAAAAGAAACAAAGGCCACTATTGAAATACTTGGAGAGATTAGTCCAGAAACCTAGCTTACTTGAGAAGGCTGAGTCCAGACAGTTATCCGCCCATGGAAATTAGCTATTAGCAAGGCACGAGGGCAAGAAGTAGGGGACCATTCAATGAACTGAACAGAATCGCGAGGAGAATCTACCAAAGGTGACCAATGCAACTGATCATAATATGAAGAACTAGAAACCAATGTGAATATAAGAGTAATCATTATAAAGCATTGCAAAATAGATTGCTATGAAAATCTTAATCTTCAATTCATCCAAGGGCTCCATGCCACAATAATCCCAAAAACAACAAATATAGAAATAACCGTGATGATAACAAGATTATACAAAAATTATGGAAAAATTGACTAAATAAATAATTTGCTGTGAATTATCACAGGCTGCTCATCAAATTAAGGCATAGCTGAGAACTGAAACCCGACTCTGATTTGGCCTCAAATAAAACTAATAATTATAATCACAAAAAAAAAAAAAAAAAAAGAGAGATACAACGTCAATGGCTTAATAGATTAATAGAGACCCACAGATCCATAAATTGTCATCTTAGGTCGGTTGGTAAGCACATTTTCCATGTGTTAGTCGTTTCCCATCCCACACCACATGTGATTGTAAAGAAATTAAATTTATAGTGAACGCTTGTAAACTAAACCGCCCAGGCCCTCAGGCATTAAAATTACCAAATATCACTTATCAAAAAACAAAATTAAAACAAACAAATATCAAGATATTGATTAAGTTTTACATCACCAGTCACCACCAAACAACCAAAATAAATAAATAAAATAAGATAAAAATGAATGTTTTAAAGCCTCGTGTTAAAAGTCCCAAATCATTGTAATTCAGCATAGTTCCACCAGAAAATAAAAGCTAACCAATAGTTAACAAAGTACACCAGAACTAATTAGGAGACTTTCTTTTCTTAGACAAAGTAGGTAATTGACCTTTCCAAAGCTTTGCTAACCACTTCTAGGCCAACTCAGAGGACTTAATAGTGAGACTCGTTCACTTATTTTATAACATAGAAAAGTGCTTTATCCGAAAATTTCAACCTGTTCTGGAATTTTCTGTACTTCAAATATTAATTAAATAAAACAGGGCTGGGGCAGATGCGGAGGGAGGAGGTCTAATCCCATGTCGCTTCGGGTCGGGATGGTTTAAGAGGCCTCTACCTCACCCTGCACTAATATATATGTAATTAAATAAAATAGCCCTCAAATTTTAGGACCAAAAAAAAACTACTAGATAACCCTCATATATAGGTATAATATACAAGATAAGTATTCCAATTCAGTTACTCTTTAACCACTCTTCTCTCCACAGCTAACCTTAACCCTGCGTCGCCTCATCCCACAATGCCGTCAATCTCATAGGTACGCTTTCTTGATCTTACAAAATATAATCATCTCTACTTCATTCTTGCATGTGATCGCCCAAAGGTAACACAACCCACTGCATTTTATATAGCCTTACAAATTTATAGTATCATCATGCTTTTAAGTACTACATATTTTCTCTCCCTCTGTGCAAATATATACACATACACACAGGGAGGGCATAGACTTCAGAATAATTATCTAAGAGGGTATGGGACTGGAAAGCAGAACCTTCACAGTTATGGGGCAGGGTTGGGATGATGATGGAGCAAGGTAGGGTAGGGTGCTCCATCCCAGCCCTCATGCCAACAGCGCATCAATGAGTCTTGGTTTCACAGCATGCAATGAAGGAAATCACTGCACATCATAAAGGCCAGAATAATCAGGCACTACCAATCAATTTTTTAGAAGACTAATAAAATCTGCAATTGCATGCATTTGCTGAGCTGATGAGGATTTTTTTGGAAATATTACTACTTAACTGAAGGAATCAGATGTTGGAACATTTATTTTGTGTTTGGCGTTCAGGAATGGAATGGAATGGAATGCAAGTGGGAAAGGAATGAGAATGGGAATGGAATGGAATGGTCATTCTCATTCTATTGTTTGGTGGCAAATATGAAATGTGTAGGAATGGAATGATAATGATTAATGACCATTCTAGTATTTGGTTAGACCAACTTAAAATTTAGAATAGAATGAATTTAAATTGAATTCTCCAAAATACCCCTTAGTGACAAATAAATTAAATTAACAAAATAAAATTCTTCTATAATTTTTTTATAAAAGATTTGGTGGTGGTGGTGGTGTTGGATGACAGTGAAGATGGTGATGGAGGGGGAAAGCGATAGTAGTGTGGGCGGTGGTGATGGAAGGCGATGGTGGTGGCAATGGTGGAAGGCGGCGGTGGCGTACGGCAATGGTGTTGGTGGAAGATGGTGGCAGTGGAGGAAGCAGTGGTGGTAGTGGTGGAAGGTGTTAGTGAGGTAGGCGATGATGGTGAAAAGCAGTGGTGGTGTAAGGTAGAGTTGTCAATGGAGCGGATCCAGATCCGAATCCGATCTAATTAGTCGGATATGGAATGAACAAAAAATTCGATAATCCGATTATGATCCGAATCCGATAATCCGTTAGCTTAACAAATCGGATATGAATTATGCTGATCCGATCCGTTAATAATCCGATCCAATTCGATTAAAATTATATATAATTATTTATTAATAACTTTACATATATATATATATATATATATATATATATATATATATATATATATATTAATACTCCTATTAAAATTGTATTAGAGGTAACCCAAAAATCCCAAATTAAAAAAAAAAATTATAATGTTATATATACAATAGTGTGGTGTTCTCATCCATATGCTAATAAATCTCTTAATATACATACTAATAATATCATACTCTTTATTCATTAACAAAGAGTAAATGATTTACAATATACTATATATCAATGTTTTATATATTAGTTATATATTACTAAATTTATATATATTAATTATTTATCATTATATTCATTTGGTTGCATAGTTATATTATGTAGCATTCTGTATATTAGCAATTCTCTGCTTCATCAAACTTTATAATTATATATGTTAGTAAATATTTTAATCCGAATTCGAATCCGATTCGATTCGATTCGATTCGATCCGAGTTAAATAGGAAATGGACATTCAATCCTAGAACCCGTTAGTGATCCAAATCCGATAATCCGTTTGCTTAACAAATCGGATATGGATTTGATCGATCCAATCCGATCCGAATCCGATCCATTAACAGGCCTAGTGTAAGGCAGTGGAGGCGGCGGTGGTATGGTGGTGCAAGGCGCCAGTGGTGCAGGTTGTGGTGGTAGAAGGTGGCGGTGACGGCGGTGGAAGGCAATGGAGGTTGCAGTGGTCGAATGGGTAATGGACCAATGGCGAAAGTTGGTGGGTATGGTGGAAGGCAGTGGAGGCGGCGGCAGTGTGGTAGCTGAAGGCAGCAACAATGTTGGCGGTGGCGGTGGCGGTGGCGGTGACGGTGGCGGTGGCGAAAGGCAATGGAGGCGGCAGTGGTTGTGGTGGTGGTGGTGAAAGCGGTGGTGGTCAAAGGTAGTGGCTGTGCTGAAAAGAAATGGAGGCAGCAGCAGTGTGGTGGCTGAAGGCAGCAACAATGGTGGTGGTGGCAGTGACAGTGGTGAAAGGCAATAGAGGTGACGGTGGTGAAAGGCGGTGGCGGTTGTGGTGGAAGGTGGTGGCGGTGGTGGAAGACGGTGGTGGCGGTTTTTGGACTTAGAACATGAAGATTTTTTGGGAGCTTGGTTTTTAAAAAAAAAAATTTACTTGGGAATGGAATGGCCATTCCATAAGTTTAGTTGTGGAATGGATTTTCATTCCAATGGAATGACCATTCCCATTTTTTTTTTTTTTTTTTTTTTTTTTGATAAGTAGAATGACCATTCCCACTTTCAATTGCAATACCAAACAAAGGAATGGTTGGAATGGGTATTCCATTCCATTACTGCACACCAAACGCAGCATTAGTTTCCTCACGCAACACCCTCCCCAACAATAAGTATGAACTCCATGTGCATAGGAAGCCAGCTAGGGCCTTAAATTTCCAAATAGAGTATCCTTCTTTGATCCCTTTTGTACCTTATCCACATATGATCACCACCCGAACCATTTCTAGGAACAGATGGAAGATATTTTGTGATGGTAGTTACTAACTCATGTTCTGTATGTTATTAGTTGCTGAAAAGAAGTCCAAGCATAGAAAATTCATAAGAAAAAATTTCCGATGAAATACTGACTCTCACTGGGCCAACAATTATTTTTCATATAAGTAAAGATTGTATGAAGAGCATGCAAAAGGGGAACACGTCCCTCAAAAGCTACACAAGGCCAAATAGAGCCTCTAAACCCTCAAAGATCCCAACAAATCTACAAACTCCTATTATTTCTCCCTAGAACCCAAAAAAAAAAAAAAGGTGACTAAAAATGGAGAACTTCAGCGTCCCAATAGGATTCTCCTTTCCTTCGAAGGATCTCCTATTTCTCTCAAGCCATAAACACCACCAGATGCACAAAGGCAAAACCCTCCAGAAATCACAAACTTGGGCCCCACTTAGAACTCATAAATCTTAAAGCAACCTTATAGCAGTAGATGCTATTTTAATTTCCAAGCCAAATGTCTTACAATAAGGCTATAGGGGTCTGAGAACTCGAGTTCAAGACTGGTCTGGGATTTTTAATTTGTTACAGCAGATGTGGTTAATCAATTTATTGCCCCAGTTACATGCCGTGATAGTGCACGTAAAGGAAACTATTTAAGGTAGTCAAGGCTCTCTTGACAGGGTAGGTTGTCTTTGCAATAAGAATTAGCTTCTTACATTATCATTTTTTGTTTAATGCATAAGATTTGACTAAGAGGTTCTTGTCAGCTGTCCTGACACAACCCTCCTTTCTCAAAGCTTTAAAATGCCGATCAGAAGTACTGGTGAATTGCTGACATTTTTCTGAGTCCCAAAACAAAATGAAAAAGGAAAAAAAATACAGTTGAAATAAATAAAATAAGCATAAGCCAGATAGGAGAAACTACTTTGCTACACAGAGCACAGATGATCAGTATCTTTGAGTATGCAATTTTTATTGGCGTAGAAAGTTGGAATTCTACCTACCATGATAGGACACTTGCTATTCGAGACACCAATTAAAAATGATCTACACTGTCAACAAGACAAAAGTTCCGCAACCAAATGATGTGATAAGACCAGCAAGTTTCAGTAATAATACCAGCTATGACATTGAACACTGCACACTCAGTAGGTCGCTCCGGGATCACAATATGTATAGGGATCCAAAATGGTGGGTTTGCATTAGAACTACAAGAAGAAGAGACAGAACAAGAACAATATTACATTTATCAGTAATAAATCATATTACTTAACAAGCTTCAGTATTTACAAAGCGAAACAAGCAGCTGCGTAAATTTTCTATACAAAATGAAAAAGTTCATCAGGTAACAACCACCATTAAAGACTCAACAAAATCAGCTCCTTTATACCAACATACACTCAAACCTGCATTATTCAACGAAATTATCTTGTCTATAAATCTAATTCATTGCACTCACTGTGCTTTGCTGAAAACAAAGGGTACCTAAATGTGACATACTCACCTTGGAATCCTTGCACAAGTTTCTGATGCACATGCTATAGCATTTAGCTTTCCACACCAAGCAACAGCACTGCACAAATGAGTAAAAAAAGGGAAAAAACATGGAATGAGAAAGAAAAAAAAATCAATAGTTTCTTAGAAATGTAAGAAGAAGAATGCACACAATTATAAAGATAAGATAGCATCACTTTAAGTTAGGAATATCACATATTCACATATGATCAAAGGAAATGGATAATTATAAACCAACAGGCCAGTGGCTTAGCGATACCAAGCCCCTACTTCTCAAAGAGAGGTCAGGGGTTCGAACCTCAGTGGAGGCATGTATGTGTGAGTACCAACTAGGGAAAGAAAAAAAAAATGGATAATTAGAGTTTTTAAGCAAGAAATCTCATAGGTTACACATCCCCTCAGTTTTTTGTTCGCATGGCTAGGTTCAATCTCCATATAGATAACCGGTGTGATGTTTGTAAGTAATTGTCCGGCTACACAGTCTGATATCAGGGTTGCATTGGTATGTACACAACTAAAATGGTTTAGGTGTCCAAAATGTTAAACGGTGAAAACACGACATGGAGTGGTAGATATCACACCATGCATGAGATGTTGCCCTACAGGTGAGATGAGAGGGTATCTGCAAGACAGGTTCTCATTGCGCAAGAACTGAGCATGCCAATACCTATGACAAGGGCACATTAAGATAGTTGTCTGTTGAGTACTACAATTATTAGTATATCTAAAATACAGATATAAATTGAATTAAAAACGGAAAGGGAACAAAGAAAAAATAGGACAGAATGTCCATCTATAAACAAATAAGAAATAATCAGCTAAAGAAAAATAATGCCCTGTATTCCCAAGTCCCCACCATTGGAAGGAAAAAAGAAAAAATGAAGAAGGAAAGAAAGAAAGAAAGAAAAGGCCACCCAACTAAAGGAGTAACAGCAAGAGAAAGGTTCCCTGTAAATTCTTACTCTATGATCACTCCACTCCAGGCCAAACAGCCTGTGCCACATAGTACACCAATCTCTAAATCTAAATGAAGCTAGCCACCTCCACAAAGGAATGCCTATAATTTTCCCAAGATGACTATACATCCACAGATGTTGGAAAGCATTTTTTTATAGGTGAAAGCAATCCAGACAAAAGCGCCAGAGGGCGCACATCCCATTTACACATGCTGTATACACAATTGAATCAAGAAATGAAAAAATATATTTAAATATAAATATTTAAAAATTATTTTTTTAAAAAAATTAATGAACTCGGGGACCTCCCTATAAGCCAAAAGTTTAGGGTGACACATCCTATGTTTAAATGACAATCAACAGCACCATCCCATCAAATGTTTTCATTCCTCTCTTCCAAGTACATGCCAAAAGCAAAACGGGGCTACTTGCCACACAAATCAGAATTTCTTTCACACTGTACTGCATAATTCTTTTCATGGTAATTGAGAATTAATTGAAACCAAAGAAAGAATACAAGAAGCCGGACAGCATGCTCCGTACAAGACAATGGAAACAGGAAAGGTAGCCATCTTAACAACAGCAAGACGGCTAACAAACCTATATGGAGAAGAACAAACTAAGCAAAGGGAAAATTAAAAAGTCTCCTATGCACATAATCCTTCACCACAACAGAGAATGGACATCAACAAGCATTGCTGCAAGCCTGCAACAACAGCAAGCAAAAGAACAGACAGGGAACAACAGCAAGTACAATCTGGCAGTTCACATTAGGCATATGTAGTAGAAGAGCATGACAAATGGCCAAAAGCATCGAGGAGGGCCTCGCAAGCAGCTTAAGAGAAAAGACGAAGGATAAAACAACAGGCTTTGAAGTTTGAGCAGCAGCTCACATTTAATATACAGGGCAAAGATATGGGAAAGGAAGCCAACAGAATTGGAAAGGCCAGAGAAAGAGAAGGGCGGTAGAATAATAATTCCAAAAAAAAAGACGAAAAATGGACATCAGTAGTAGGCAGACTGCAGGAAGGATTCCCCACTTAGAGCAGAACCCTGCCAATACTAAAGCTGATCACGATAAGAAAACAGAGTGCTGTAACATACAAGCTGCTGAAGAGAGAGAGAAGCCGAGTTGATAGTTCATGAGAACGTTACTCTAGGCTCTGATGTGTAGCGGTGAACTAGGCCTAGAGGGGGCTAAATAGGTCTTACGGATATTATTTTGCAACTAAGTTTTAAAATTACCATTAATCCTTGTTTAAAATTCAGTTAATTAGTTATGGATGATTGAGATTTGAAATTTGTTTATAACTGTTAATTTTCAATTTGCATCCATCATTTCCACAATCATACATCAATAGAAAAATAAAGTGAAGTATGGCATACACAAATTTTTACGTGAAAAACTAAACCATAAAAACCATGGGATCTAGTCTAGAAAGGCCAATCCACTATACGAGAAAGAAACTACAACCAGGTTGACAGTTTCCACTCCCTAGATTTCCTAGATACCTCTTGACATAGACGATGCCTAACTCTCTACTCAAGTCTTCAGGCCGTCTGTTCTCTTATCAACAGACTTCAGCTCTTCTGATCCACTTCTCTAGTGATTGTTCACCCATTTGCACTGAAATCTAATCGGTTGATTAGAACTATATCAATGAATTTCTCCTTGATGAACACTAAATCACATAATTGTGTCCAATGAAACCCTAGGTTGAGCAATGGAAAATTCTACTATCTCAAGGACTTTCTCTCTCTCTAGATGATCAGAAGCTTCAATTCCATACCTTGACTGACTATAAAACCCATATTTATAGCCAATATAGGTATCCCATACATTTAGTAAGTTGAATCTTTGTAAGATTCTGTTTTGGTAGAGTTTCCAAATATATATATGTAACAAGTCCATCGATCGAGCCTTCTATCAAATCCCTCAGGAATTGCTTCAACCAATCAACAATTCGATTGACGCTCTCAATAATTCAATCCTGCAAATCAGACCTCCCTCAATCCATCAACCTATAGATCAATGCTCTTTGAAATTTGCATTATCAATCGATGCATTCTATTGTTTATTAAAAAGATAGTTTTGAAAATTGTCTAAAATCCTTACCTTAGGAAAAGCATTTTTAAAAAACACATTTAAAATAGAACTTTGAGCTTCTCCAAGATCAATCTAGATCATTTCTAAGGTCACTTAACCAATGCGCTAGAGACATGATCTAGGATGCAGATTTCTATTTGTGTTCTTTGAAAATTTGTGTCCGCCTTGTCTTCACAGGTGGTACTCAAATGGCTTAAAACACTTCAACACATTACAACCCAAGTTTTGAGTAGGAAATCCCCAATGCATGACCCATATGCCTAACAAAAGTATAGCTATAGAGCTCAAAATTACTGGGAAACTATACAAAAGGCAGTAAAAATACTGAGGCAAAAACAGAAGAGTGCAGCAAAATAAGAGAATTCATAGCTTTAGATAAAGGATTAGAGGAAATAGAATCAGGGAAGCTCAACTCCAGCTGAAGCCAAGAATTGGATATAGGTGTTGTTCGATAACTCAATTTTGTGCTTAATTCTGAATAAATTAAGTGCTTTATGTTATGCAATTAAGTGTGTTTGATGATGCATTACTGATATCACTTAAAATAATAAGTGTCACTTAAAATGAAGTAAAATTTTAAGTGAATAAGACTTCACTTATCACTAAACACTGTACAGTTAAAATTTAGAAAGAAACCAAAAAGATTATCAATTTATAACTAGTGTCATATCCTATGATATGCTTAAATATAATTCTGGCCTTATCTCACGGCTTAAATATTTTTCTCCAAGCCCAAGTACAATTACCAGGGGTTTTTGAATTACAAAAGTTAGTCCTGAAATAAGATAGGTTCACTTTTCACCCCCGTGGTCCAAATGATTTAATTATCATTTTGCATGGCATTCCATGTTGCTTCACAATTAAAGACGTGTTCCACTCACTTGTATTTTTTACTTCGCCGCGTTTTTCTTTCAAGTCACGTAGAATGACAAGCAACTTTTTTTTTTTTTATAAGTAAGATTGTATTAGAAAGCAACTTTGACACTAGTGGTCTTTAGGTCGGGGCCCTTCCAAAGGAAGGCTCTCAAAGTTTGTTCAATGGTCTTTGTGACTTTCTTATAAAAAGATGAGCATAGTTGACTAATAGGTTTGAATGCAACAAAGACTGGCATTACGAGTTGAAAACTCTTCCTGCATAGAATAGAGCTCTTTCGGTCCAAGATTTAACCTTGCCTGCAATTTTGAAAATAAAAAATCTATACTCCTCTTTCTTGAGTCTAGAAATAATAACAAGGATCCCGGGTACAACAAGATGCACTTCTTTATAGCCAAGTTGAGAGACGATGATGTGCTTTGTCATTGAGGCTACCCCTAATGTGAAAATTACGTAGTCAATAAGAGCTCTACTCCAGAATTGATCTACTAATAACCCAAAGAATCCCAAACACGATGTTTGATTAGATGGAAATAGTATGAAAGGCAAAGAAACGAATTTTTTAAACACTTTAGGAGTTTGGATAACAGGAACCGGAAAATTTTGAGGATAAGTAATTTCCCATAACCATTTAACTTTCCAAAAAAGACTCCTAATAAAATGACATGCAAATTTTGATTTCTTAAAAAAAAATTATGAAGTTACAAAAATGACCTCTCTTGTCATGTAAGTTTCATGCATTCCAAATCATGAAATGGTAATTTCTCATAACTTACTTGAAAAAAATTCAAGCTAATATGTTGAAAATTATATTTTCCTTCTACTCACTTCTCTTTCTTTTCCTTACACTTTCCACAATTAGTTTCCATCTAACCAAATCGACCAAAAAAAAAAAAAGGGATTCCAACTCCATAGGCACCATGAATTAAAGCATTTGATGATTGACAGTATCTATACCCCTTTGATGTAGAATGCCGATTCAAAAGATTCTACTCCTCTCACCAAAATTACCAGTCAAAGCTTCCTTCAAAAGAACTCAGGGGCATGAAGTAACCTTCCAAGGCAAACCGAGGAACCACCACACCTCAACACCCTGTTACCTCTAACAAAAGTGCACCTTGTACTTCCTTCAATTCAAATGTAGCCCACCTCAAACAATCCTCCATCCATTATGTATAGAGCAGGCATACCATACACCAGGGACGGACCTATGTTGTACTTGGGGGGGGGGGGGGGGGGGGGGGGGGGGGGGTGGCGGCAATTGCCCCCCTTGATTTTTTTTTTAACTATTATGCCCCACTATTTTTGTCAATTGGTGTTACATGTGTAAGAGAGATGGGGAAACGGTTGATCGCCTTCTTTTGCATTGCCCCATGGCTTGGGATTGCTGGGTCTTAATGTTGAGTTTGTTTGGGGTTCAGTGGGTTATGCCCAGATACCCCAGAAATTTGATTGAGGCTTGGCGAGGTTGTATAGTGGGGGCCCAAGTCTGTGATTTTTGGAGAGTTACGCCTCTTTGCATTTGGTGGTGTTTATGGCTTGAAAGAAATAGGAGGTCCTTCGAAGGAAAGGAGACTCCTATGGGGGAGTCAAAATTCTCTATTATTAGCACTCTTTTTTGTTGGCTTTTAGGGAGATATTGTAAATCCGTGGGGGAGATAGTTGATTTTTTGGACTCTCTGAGGGTTTAGAGACCCTATTAAGCCTTATGTATTTTCTGAGGGATGCGTTCCCCTTTTGAACGCTTCTTTATACAATCTTTACTTATAAAAATATATTAAAAAAATAAATAAATAAAAAAATCTGTACTGCCCCCCCTTACTTGAGTTTTTGTGTCCGTCCCTTCCATACACCAAAAAAGCCTCCACTATTTCCAACTCCTAATGCTGTAGTGTCCTAAACGAGGATCCTGTACTACAATTTGAAAAACTGACATAATCAACTACTGGTGTCTCCTTATCCATTACAGTCCTGAATAGATATGATATAGGAACTTTTAACTGGCCATCCTTGCACAAATAGCAATGCTACAGTCTCACCCTTTATCCATTTACACCATGAGTCTAATATGGCTTGTTTAACTCCTCTTATCCTTTCTAATGCTCTTCAAAGCCCCAGAACATGAGAAGACTGAACTTCATGAGATAACTGATCACCCATTTTGACAAGTAATTTTAGCCAAACTGCATGAGGCCACTAAGATGATCCAAGGAGAAAACCTTTGGTTGATTGAAATATGTGGGCAAAGGAAGTTGATGAGATCAATCCCCAACTTGAGGAAAAGCATTGGCTTCCAGGGTTGGATAGAATGGTCCCTGTGATCCTATCTAACTTTTTTTTTTTTTTTGGTAAGTAAAAATTTCATAGAAAGACGCTCAAGAGGGGAGCGCTCCCAAAGGAATACACAAAACGCCAAAGGCGACAACTAAAGCTTTAAACTATCCACAAAATCCAAAAGATCCCCCAAAGATTTACAATTCCGCCCGTTGACCCAAAAGAATAAAGTGTGCAATATAGTGTATTTGAGAGACCAAATAGGAGTCTCCTTGCCCTCAAAATGTCTCATATTTCTCTCGTGCCACAAACCCCATCAAAGACAAAGGGGAGTGGCCCTCCAGACAACCTTGGCTCGGCTCTCCACTAGACACCCTTTCCAAACCTCAATCAGATCCACCATGGTTATAGGAATCACCCAAAACATGCCAAAAGCAACCGAAAACATACACCAAACATCCCTTGCCACCGGGCAGTGAATAAGGAGATGATTCATTGATTCCTCCGTCTTCTTGCACATACAACACCAATTAACCACGATTTGTCCTCTCCTTCTAAGATTGTCAAGGGTGAGAATGCTACCGTGGGCTGCACACCAAGCAAATAAGCCACCTTCAAGGGAGCTATCGACCTCCAATCGCTTTCCAAGGGAAGGAATAACCTGGGATCACCCACAGAAAATGATAGAACACCCTGACCTTAAACAGTCCCCTCGGTGAGCCCACCCACACTATCTCATCCATCCCTGCACCCTCCACCTCCTACCTGTACAGCAAGACCAAAAACTCAACAACCTCCGCAAGCTCCCAATCATGGAACTCTCTACGAAACTGCAATCCCTATCTAACTTATCTGAATTGATTAGGTCTTATAGAATATTCATGAGGCTGATTCTAATTTCTTAATATTACTTTATCTCCTTGCTATTAATATACTAAATGAAACCAATCTTAAACTCCTCGTTCAAGAGCGACCAACTCACACACTGTAGGACGTGCAAGTAGCGACCATTAGATGTGTTCATATTCACACATGAAGGAGCAGTGATCACTTAAGGGTGGTTTTTTATATATAAGTAAAATTTCATTAAAAAGCAGGTGGCACGGCCCAAAACAACTGCACAAACTAAAGACATACAGCCTCAAGCATGATCACTTAAGGTTCTGGTGACAGTAACCAGGATGAAAATGAAGTATAAGCCCGACCATGCAAAAATAGAACTATAAGCAACCAATCCTGGTATGTCCTAAAAACTGAACCTATTAACTCAACCCTATTCCAGCCAATTAGCTTAAAGTTGGTTTGGGTTAAGATAACACAACCCAGTTAAAAATAAATTGGAATCAGCTTGCAAACATATCATTAGGGAATCTCATATTAGAGGCGTTTCAACTAATTAGCTATTGAATGGGAACTATACCAAAAGCATTTTTCAGTTGGTGACTTGAAATTTAATTTAAGACACGATGTATAAACATAAAATATTGAACAAATCCCTCTAGAAGCTATGTAGGATCATCACGATTCAAAAGTAAGCTAGTGTTAGATGGGAACTATGCCCCATGTCTACCACTGGTGTGAAGCCATGTGTTCAACTATCCATCAACCTTCTCTTTCCAATTTCGCTTTCAGTTAAAACCAAAAAATTTATTAAATTTTAGAAACAAAACAAGAATTACAGATTATATGGCAGTCAAACCGTTTTAGGGCACCATAGAGATGCGAGAACTGGATAATCAAGCAACCTAAGCTATAATCAAAATCCAACAATTGAGCAAAACACATCAAATTTCCCTCGTTCAATACTAGATAGAGTTACCTGAAATTCCTACAGAGTTCGGGAACACTCATTTTGTGCTGCAAATTGGAACTCGGCTGCTTGAGCCTAATACAGAAAACAGTGGCCGGATTCACCGAATCCTCCTCCATCGGATCGTCCGCCTTCTCCTCCTCCGCCTCCTCCTCCTCCTCTTCTTCGCCGCCGCCTCCTCCTCCTCCCGCTTCAACCGTCTCCTCCCCTTTGGCCACTTCGAGAGCCGCCGAAGAATTGACTGGAGACTCTTCTTCAGAGTCCTTAGCACCAGAGGATTGATTCATCCGAATAATATAGACAAAAAGCTTAATTTATATATAATACAGAAAGATAGAGAGAGAAAGAGTAAAGGAAGTGGTAGGAAAGTCGCAAGTGAGAGCGACAGGAGCCACTGTTGAGAGAGAAAGTGATGGTGTAGAGAGGGAAGAGAGAGATTGGAGGGATGCTTTTGGTGGGGTTAGTGGATTAAGGAATCGGACTTGGAATTTTGGGTCTCTTTCACTACTATAATACACTGAATTAGGTTAGGGTTTTGGTGATTGGGCGCTTGGAGACAAGGACCAGATTCCAACTGTCTGGGGACTTTTTAATTCTGTCAACGTCTTGCCTCGTCGCGTTTTTCTTTTGCTTTGAAAAACATCCAACCATGGCGCTAATTTAAAATTTTTGACAGATCCCACTTTTTCCTCTCCTTTTTTCCTTTCATTTATTTAGTTTTTAACACCAAAAAAATCTTATTAGATTTTAAATAATATAAATAAGTTTTATTTTTCACAAGAATGTAGATCCCATTCAAGTTCTCTCTCTCTCTCTCTCTCTCTCTCTAAAAGGTCTAAAAATTCACACTACATTTATGTATTAAAATCATAATTTATCGTTATATTTATGTTATTACATACATGAAAAGAAAAAGAGTGAGAGAGAAGATATATGACTAATGGTATAAGACTTCCAATGAATATTAGTTTTGAATTTTTTCTATATTTTTTTAAGTTTCAATGAATATTATATTCTGAAGTTAAATTATATAACTAATTTAATTTAAATTCAATCTAGAAAAATCTTACCCACAAAAATTCAATAATGAGTTCAAAAAACTTACCTGCAAGAAGTCATACTTTAAAAAAAATAAAAAGCTATTAATTTTATCAATGAACAAAATTGTATTATGTTTCTTATTTGACAGAGCTTGGTGGTCTTGTACTTTTAAACAAAAATATTTCTTGAAACCAAGCTGAACCAAAGTGTGTCATTGCCACAAACAAAAATATTTTTTAAAATGAAAATATTTAATCGAAGTGTGCAGGAGATGAATTCAGTGAAACCCAATGTTCTTCTCGTCAATTAGTGTTTTTCTTTTAGTTATGTTCGACCGCATAGAATTAGAACTTTCAAATTGGATTTGGTGTTATTAAATAAAATTTTAGTTCAATTTTCTCTAACTTTGAACCAAAATTTTCTTTAATTCCACCAATTCTAATTTTAAGGCGTCAATTCCATATAACCGGACATAGTATTTCCATTTTAAGTGGCATGACTCATTTTTCAAGTAGTCTTTGTAAAATTTTCAAGTAAAAATAGGGCAAGAATAATACCTTCTTAGAAATAGGTCAGTAGAGTTATTAATTCCCAATTGAGATGGCCCCTGTTGCAGCTTTTCAATTTATCTTTTCCTTTACATAAAACAGTGGCTTTAGAAACCATTCCACACCCCATTAAACAGTCATTCATTTGGTTTTCTTCCTATTTAACACATTCCAACTTCCAACTTACAGATCATTCAAATGAGAAACTGATATTCATCAGCTCAACATAAACGATGGCACTACACAAATTTTGATTACCACAGATTTCACTTTGACAAAATTCTGATCTTCTCACAAGAGAAAGAAGAGATCTAGTCAACCGAACGAAGTAAAAACTGCCGACTGCTAATATACATTCAACACCATATTCTGTTGTTTCAGCCTGAATATACAGCAAAACTTCGAAACTAAACTAAATGCCTGCTAGTTTTCCTAAAAATCCTAGGACTCATGCCATTACCCACGGAAAAATTGGGGCCTGCATGCGTCTCTAATTGCCTTGCAATGTTTTTAAGCATTTGAGAAGCGGAAAACTGATACAACTTTCCCCAGATGTTCCGAAGAATGAACATCTTGGAACAGGAATTGCAGGCCAGGCATGTCTCTCGCTTCTGAATTTTTTAAAATTAGGTCAATACGATTGATGGAATTGGTGTACAGAGTCTCAAAGACAAGCCATCAACTGGCAGGACTGGTTTGCAATAGCTGCTGCTTCCTTGGAAATGAAAAAGATCTATCTTAACAGATTCAACACCAGAAAATGAGGACAAAAAGGTATGTACTCGCTTTTCAGGGAAAAGGAGAAGCATTCTTTGGATATCTTGCAGAAGATGGCATTCGTTGCAGAACTCGGGAAAATTCTGGCTTCAGTCTTTTACTTGGAATTCCTTGCAATGACCTGAACCGCAATAAAATAATTTAACCACAGAACAATGAATTGAATTAAACATAATGGAACATTGGAAACCTCTTTTAGCAATGAAGACATGGGAACCTGACCTTTATTTATTTTTTTTAAGAATGAAAAGCGAAAAAAAAAAAAAAAAAAAAAGCTTCAGAAAAAATCTGAAATCTCTTGTGCCTCTCTGTGTTTGTGTGTGCGTGCGCGCGTGTATGTATTTCCTTTCTCTTTTTCCCCAATAAAAGCAACCATATGAGCTGCAAGAGTCCAAAGGTGTCAACTAGCCTGATTTGTAAAACTTCTACATGGTTGTACCAGGATTCGAGGACCCAATGCAGCCATCACACGAGTTGGGAAAGTTTATTGCCAGCAGGAGGGCTATCCCCATTGTGTAGCACGGCCATTAAGAAACAATCTACTACCAAACACTAGCAACCAGTGGAAGCACTCACCTTGGAGAACCCTGACGTTTCTGAGAATATTGACCATGCATGGATTTTAGACTACCCAGAGCCTTTTCTGCAGGCTAAGGAAAAAACATGTTTCAGTTCTCAGAACACAAAGTACTTACGAAAGAATGAAGTGCATGGACCATGAAAAGAAGAAAGACAGAACTTTCATAAAAGTAGAAGGCAAAACAATACCTGCATCTGAGCCTCATCCCATGTTAAACCAATTCCCTTACTCAACACATGCCCATCTATTTCAACCTAAAACACGATGCCAAACAGAATAATTAACAAAATGAATGGGAAAATTGACTCCTTAAATATCATATAAATAACCCACGACATTTAGATGATGTCATTCTTAAAAGCCCTGCCAGGAAGCAATCTGCTTAAGATCAAAGTTATGAAACATTAGAGAATCTATTTGTCACATCATGTTCTAAAAACCTTTTACACAAAGTTGGCCCTTGGATTATTCATCCAAAGACATCTCACCACCAAAATGACGTAGAGCATACATAGCCGAACAAAGTACGCGGTACAAAATCCAGGAAAATTATTTCATTCTGTCAAGGAAAAAAAATTAGCTTTTAAATAGCACAATGTTGACAGAATATGGTGTCTGAAGCTTTTTTACTGAATTGAGTTTTCTTTAGCAGACAAATCCGGGAGGTCGGGGGATGGGGAGAAGGGTTTTGGGTTAGGTGTTCAAATTAAACCTGAATGTTAGATCATGAGTAATTAAGAACAATGAATTCTCAAACTTTATCATCAATATTTATATGTATAGAATCTTCTTGAAAATGGAGGCTGAGGTTGGAAAGCTACACCAAGTCCCTCAATCATGCACTTAAAAATGGGAAGTAGAGATCCACAACACGCAAATACCAGGAACCTCAATCACAACAGCAAGAAGGTATAAACATGCAAAACAACATTATTCAAGTTAGTGAGATCTTACAAATTCTTTATATGCAGAGACTGAACCCATTGGTTTCTTGGAGCTCTCCAGCCTTGGATCAAAAACCCTCAGTGGCTCTGATGCATTTGAACATGACAGAGACTCCTCCTCGAGCATTGGCTGATACCCCAAAGAATTAGCATCACCAATAAAACCGATGTCATTTGCACTAGAAAACCTACTCTCATCCCCATGCAGAGAGCTAGAACCAGGCTTAAGATGTGACAGATATTTATCTGCAAAAACATAGTCCAGAATCATTGCAATCACCCAAAGAGCAGGGAGTGAGAAGAAAATTAAAATCAAAGGAGACCATCTCAAAAAATTACCATATAAAAATGTGCCAAATTGGGAATTTTATTAAGGAAAAAGTAAAGTATAATTAAAATTAGCCCAAATTAGGACTGCAATTTGGGGCATAAGCTCAGGTAAGAAGAAGCTTGACTCATCTAAGAATGTCGAAAAAAAATTATTTCTATACATGGGGAACATTTCATGCTGCTTCAAATTAAATTTTCTCAACTAAAAAAAATGCCCATTTTTACCCATTGAAGCCCCAAAAGAGTATGGATCCCTACATAAGGACATGCTTCAATTTTGGAATCAGTAGCGTAAGAAGACTTTCTGGAAGCACTTCGTTCCAAAGCCAATTTCACAAAAGGAAGGGGTAACTCCTTCCATAATTGCATTTGCAGGATAGCTTACATTTTGGCCTTCTTCATGCAATAAAATCACTAGAACTTCAAAAATTCTCTCATAATTGACTCTTCCTAAATCCTGAAGTAAATGCTTCTACTTGACCATGGTATCCTCCACAGAGTCGAATTGAAACTTCAATTGATATGTTCAGAATTACAAATATAACCCTCAACCCTTAGCAAATGTTCCAAATGAATGGAGCGTCACCTCAAAGTTTTATATTAAACGAGTATAATACTCGGTTCGTTCATCTAAAGAATTGCCAGCAAGAAAGAAATCACAAGCCACTTCCCTAAAACATAATGAGCAGAAAGAATGACGTGCCCACAGAGTGAAATTTAAGACAGCAAATAGTTTGAATCATAGGCAATAACGGAATGCACTGGAAAATCTTACCGGCCGAGAAAAACAGTGCCAATAAAGACAACAAGAAAAGCACTTACCAGCCAAATTCATAAGAGATCCCTCAGCAGCCTGATGCTGGGCCTCCCTTCTTGTCCTACCAATTCCTTCACCAATTTTCTTTCCTGCAAACCAGACCTGCAAAAAGAATAGTCAGCAAATACAGCAATATAGCTTGAGCTCATTGAAGCACGTAATTCTAACTACAGATATTGGTCTAGCGGTACCAAGCCCCTACTTCTCAAAGAGAGGTCAGGGGTTCGAGCCTCAGTGGAGACGTGTGTGTGTGAGTACCAACTAGTAAAAAAAAAAAAAGATTGGCAACAAAATCAGACTGCAGAGATTATCATGAATTCTATTTCTAACAGAGTCACATAATTAGAGGATTCATAAAACAATTGTGAAAAGGTGCAAATCAACTCTAATTATGACTAGGGCTACAGAAATTTCCACAGTACTGAAACTGTTGTAGAACTCTGTAGAAGAAACAAATATCAAATGAAAGTTTATACAACCTCAACAGAGAATTGCAGCGCCATGCTTGAAACCAAAGCTGACCTGAACTCCACCTACAAGTATTCATAATAGGCATGTGATAGAACTTAAGTTAAATATAAGAAAACTATAACAAAAATATATAATGCTGAGATTACTATTCAGATACTATAAAACCTTGTTATTTTCACCCACCTTAAGGGAAAGGAAGGAAGAAAAGAATTATTATAAATACCTTGGTTCCACAGTTAATTGCAATATCCTGTAAAGCTCCAGCAGGTGACTCAGCATATGGGTCAATTGGTCCAAGTTCAACATCAAGATCCCTGTTGCTGGAGGATGATCGACTCAAGGGAACATCATCATCTTCAAAATAAAACAAGAAGTATATAGTACGCATATCCCAATATAACATCAAAAAATGGATTAATAGACACTGAATATGCTTAATATTTTAAGACGACAAGGATCACCAAGAAAAATGCTCCAAAATATATTTTAACGTCTCCATAAGTTCATACAAATAAATCGATCAGCAGGGAAAGCCAATAACCGAATAATTTCAATATGATGTGAATATGACACCAAAAGAAGGTCATAAAAGCTGAAGAACCACGTAGAAAGTAATATTTGGTTTGTTAATCTAAATATGCTGCTCAACTCTAAGCCATAGTCCAAAGGCAAAATGTTCTGTTCTACAGGACAACTAAAGTTGCTTTCTAGTCTCTATGATTAGTGTGGGAAGTTTCATAAAGCATCCATTAATGATTCTTCATTTAACACTCTTCTTTTCTGCATTCCTTACTCCCATCCTCCATGACTTGGATCTATAAATCTCACATTTATCAGAAAATACACAGGAAAATGTTTCGATTAAGCTGCAGTACTGCACCGGCTGATGATCCCTATGAACAACATCATCAACAGCAAGGCCTAGTAGAAAATGTAGCATCAGTATAGGGCCATAGGCATAATGTATCTTATAATGTGTCTTCGATATAGGTGGGGGAATTGACTATGTTGCACTAATGCAGATACAGCAATCAAAGCATACAACAGGAATGGAGGGTTAAATTTAGGAAAGGACAATACGTGAGTAGGTACTCCGTACTAACAGTTGATGTTGTCCAATCACAAATGCACACATATCCTTTACAAAATTAGGAAAGTAATAAATAAGGAAAATGAACCCAGATTGACCCGCTTCCAATCCTTTATTTTTCAACTTTTTTAATTAATAACTACAGGTAATGTGTTGGTATAAGATTAGACCACATCAGCTGTTAGTAGACCCACTCACCGGTGAGTAGGTAAGTATTGTCCTTTAGGAAATTCTAGAAAAAGAAAATACAACTTATAGAAAAAGCATGAATCTAAGTTAACCGTTACCTGATCACAGTTACTAGAAATTGCTAATATGCATTATGCATGTCGGGAACAAATTCCAAAACATGGTACATTTACAAGAATTGTAAATTTACTGTTTCAATTTTCTTTTTTTTCTTTTTTCTCCCCTTACCTATGATTGTTAATGGGACAAAAACAGGGAAAAGGAAGGAAAAAGAAGGCGAAAAATATTATTTTCTATTGTTTGTTGAGAAGAGAAAATGTAAGAGTGAGTGCATGATTTATTAGATTTTCTCTTCTACTTTTTGGTAGTAGAGGAAAAAGAAAAGTGAAGAGAAGGAAAATAAAAGCGAAAAAAATGGAAGAGAAAATGTATATATTTCTTTGTTTGATTGAGAAGAGAAACTGAAGAAATTCTAAAAATTTCTCTCCTCCTCCTCTCCTCTCCTTTCCTACCAAAAATACCATTAATTTTCTTTTGTCTAAAATAATCGTCAAAATAAAAAATGAAATCTAAGAAGATGTTTGGATAGGAAGATTTAGGGAAAGCCATAATACTCCAATAATTCAACTTGTATAGGAAAGTCTAAATTCTGCATTTATACATGGTTTTTCCAATAAAACAATTTCCAAATGTGAAAAAATCACTTGTACATTTTAATTCTACCATAATTTATTAATCATATGCTTATTAATTATATGTTACTCCCATTTAGAAGTATCATTAACGCATCCCCACCATGTAGTGTGGGCCATACCACCTTTCAGTTCCCCAAAAACGATTCACGGGTCATGTCACTGACATACATCTTGATTAGTCAAGCACCACCAGAGATGGGACGTTAATCACATCTAATTCATAATATAGTTTCAAGAATACAATACAATACCACAAATTTACTGATGAAAGATTAATGAACATAACAATGTAATGTTGTTTACCTACAGGTCTTTGCAAAAAAAGAGAGGAAACAGGCATGATTCACATTGTATAACTACACAAACACGTGCATGGTGCCCAAATTCATGCAGGCACAACCTAAGCTGTGTAAGATGTTAAAATGAAAAAATTCAAAAACTGGGTTGCTTCTCGAAAAATTGGATCTACGAGCCAAACAGGTTGCTGAACTCAACACGATTAGGATTTTGTAATAAGGCATCAAATCAACATGGTTGTGTCCCATGACAATGAAATGATACAATAGATTTGTGTATGAATATTGTCTTGTTTCCCAGAACAAAAAGATCATTTTGTTTCTCAAATTAGATTTGCGAGTGTAAATAGTAATCCTTTTGTTTCTACTTATCCTTCTTAGGATTCTATATAATATATTCATAGAGAAAATTAAAGTCAATTCTATTTAATATATTCATAGATAATATCAAAGTCAATTCTTATTATTTATTATCTATTTATCTTTTTGGTATCAGGCAGGTAGACCGAACCTTGCCTTTAACTTCTTGATTTGCTTCCACGCATATGGTGGGGCCAGCAGCTTGCCACCCATCAACCTAATAAGTTATTTCCTTAATTCCTTCTAAAATAGAGTTTAAATAAAACTCTCTCTTAATCATATCACATCATTTATTGAAAAGGTAATAGCAATTTATTATTTAGGTGTGCTTTGTGTCCCAGTTGGTAAGAAGCTCCACGGTTTGGTGTGTGAGCCTCGTTTCGAGCCGCCTACAACCCTCCCCCTCTAACCTCTAATCTAACATCTTGGGAAAAAAAAATTATCACGCATCACTCAGTTACTAGTAAGTGTTTGCAAATTAAATGGAACTGGACCATCAGATGTTGTTACAACAACATCTGCAAATACCACCCCTACATATGTGTCATTCAAAAGATCATCTATATGGAGTTTTTACCAATTTTTTACCATACATGAATTACTATAATGGCGGATTGAGAAAAAATGAGTAGATAATTAGGGATGCCAAGGTACACAAAGGATTAATAGTAGAGATTATAGACGTTATCCAACGGAAAATATTTCTACATACTACAACTAGAGACAAAACCAGCATGCACTTGGCTTACTAAGGCTATCTTGTGTGTTGGCCCATAAAGGCCCATCTTGGTTCTCAACAGCCCATGCAGCCATCTCTTGAATACCTCCCCCATCCACTAAAACAGGACAATCCTAGAATACTAGGATCCACATCAAGTTGGTGAAAAATGCGGCAAGTTTTTTCCGTATCTCCATAAATTTGTGTGCGTGTGTTGGGGAGGGAGGGAGGGAGGGGGGGGAATCAAATTTGGCGCATCGCATCACAATATTTTATTTACAAAAAAATAAGTATTATTATGTTCTTTAACAAAACAAGATTAAATAGGGGATAGATTCTTAATTTTCCTTTTATGGTAGAAGGTTAAAGCTACACCAGTACTGCATAAGCTGTAGCTCATCTGGAGAGACAACAAATTAAGGAGTGGGACTCGCGCCCGGGGGGGGGGGGGGGGGGCGGGGGGTGGGGGTGTTGTTTGTGGGCTGAAGTGGCATCATCAAAACTTAATGATTATTTCAACCTTTTATTGGCTTAGCTTCTTTAGATGAAGAACATTTAACTAATCTAATAATAAAGAAAACAAGTTGGAGACAAAAAAGCTTTCTCACTTGTAATATTAGTATACATTTGGTAGATGTGATTTTAAATTTCCTCATTATACTCCTATAATTCTGATGTAAACCCTTCTAAGGATCCGAAGCTAAAAATTTAATTTTTCTTCATTAAAAAAAAAAAACAAAAAGAGTCAGTTGTTATTAATCCAGAGCATCTGTTTTTGTCTTTGGCATGTGCCATGTGCTCCCCTTTTGAGTGCTCTTTAATGAAACAACTTACCAAAATAATAATATTAATATCCAGAGCATCAAAAAACTTAATTCTTCTTCGCTATTATTTCTATTTATCTTTAGTCAAGTCTTCTCAAGTCAAGAAATTTTGTGACAAAATTAAAATTATCACATAATTACTTCTATATTGTAGTTTACTTTAGACAAACAAAAACATATTCCAAAACTTGCCTTAGTTCATAAATTACAGTGTTAAGAGTTTTAGCCAAATCCAACTTGTCATACTCATGATGTATGCCAACACTCATACCCATATTATACAACTTGAGATCATGATGGCAAAATCTTAACATAGAAAATGGGAGAAATGGTTATTCCAATGTAATCACATAAGCACATAACGACATAAACATGCACAAGAACACATGCCCACACTGGCAAAACAAACTTTTTCCACCTATGAACCATTACACCTGATACAACTTATGACTAAATTATTTATGCTTCATCAAAATTTTGAGCAAATAAAGAAAGAAAAAGACCATTTCCAAATCCATTAATGCCAAAAATAAATAAATAAAAGCTCTCATGCAAATACATGAGGATGATTATCAAATCTTTGGGAACAAAAAAAAAGGTACTTTTAATGCAAATACAAATCTTTTGGCCTTGTGTAGCTCTTGCCGGATGGAACGCTTTCTAATACAATCCTACTTATCAAGAAAAAGAAAAAGAAAAAAAAACCTACACCAGTGAAAAATTGTGTGATTCAGCTCTGGCCCAAAAGATCATTCCTACCAAAGCATTAAAAAAATCTAAAGAAAACTGTTTTACTGATGCTAAAGAACCCACAATAGACCAAAAGGAAACAAAAAATTTAAAGGAGGTATATTACTCTTATCGTTGACTTCTCCATGGAACTATCCATTATACATGCGAACTCAATAAGCAATTATACATACTTTACTGCTCACCTGGGAATGAATGATAACTAGGCATTGAATGGTTAAATCTCAATCGGTCATCTCTTTGAAGAACCTGCAAAATATGACAATAAGATCAATACGCTTTTCAGTCACAATTATGCTTTTCACCTTTCAGCATAAATACTCTCAAGGCCATAAGGTCAAACCAACACGAAATACCAATTACCTCCTTTGGCAATCTCTGGTTTTCAAGAAGAATTCTATCAGATGGAATAGAACTATCCATCTTACGAAGAAAAGGCAGATGATGAGGTCGGTGTTTCTCAATATTCATTGCCTCTGAATTTGAAGGAAATTCCTTTCGTGGTACTCGGTTAAGTTGTCCTGGGCTCATCTTTTCTTCGACTGGAAACCAGCTTCCATGTGCTTGCACCCGTGGAACTGGAACTTCTATTGGGGGTCTTGCCGGAAATTGAGGTTCACTCAATGCATGATCTCTTGTGTCTTGCCCATGTTGCAAAATAAGAAGCCGCCTCCTTGTATCAGGATCTAATTCAGATTCTGGTACCTCACCCTCTTCTCTAGCAGGGGAACTTTGCAAGCTTGCTTCTGGAGCGCCAACTTGACCGAATGGCTTGACTACTGAAGTCACCTGAGTTAACTGTTTATTGGAGAAAGGCATGATTGAGCCTTGCAATGTTGACGGTGCAATTGAGATAGAAGACGATGCTACTGTATACTGAATAGGAGGAGCAATTCTTGGATCCATATTACTGACTGTTAAAGAGGCCGTTGACGAAGCTAAAATTGCATCCTGAATGACCAAGTTGATAAAAAGTGAAACTGATATCACCTTACATGCACATGTAGATGCAAGATCTTTTAACTTATAGATCGTATATAAAAGACAAAGCATGTAACAACAATTTTGGGTTGAAAATTAAGAATCCCCTGAGCCTTACACATACCTTTTGACCTCTATTTATTAAATCCCTAAGGTATCCTTAAATTTAAACATCAACCAAGAGTATGAGGACATTGATTAACAAAATAATTTACCTTTAATCTTCTTTCAACCTCAAAATCTGCCATGCCATCAAAACAAAGAGAACCCTTGTTCCCAGTCATAGCTGAAGCGTCATCCTGAGCAGCAAAAAAATTATATCACACCAAAATATATATATACAAGTGAAATTGTAACAGAATATACAGTCAACAATCTATTTACACCCAAAAAAATTCATTGCACATGGACATGATAAGCATCAGGTATTAACAACTTTGACACTTCCACTGCAACTCTAAGAGTAGCCAAAGGAACCAAATTTTTGTCCTTGCTAACCTCTGAAATCAAATAGTTGCTCACATCTGGAGGAGAAGGGATATGTCCGATATCATCTTCATAAGAAACTTCTGGAATCTTTTGTAAGAGAACTTCATCGAATTCTCTGTACCAAAACATGTCATATCATGACAAAAGAATAAACTTGACTAACAAAAACTCGAGAATAACTCCAATAGTGGTCAGTGATGTCCCAGTGTGTATATTTGTGTGCTAACTTTTTAGTGTTTTTCTTACTTGAAAAAACCACCTCTAACATCACACGCAACATTTCTCGCAACACGCAATACAGGAACAGCATTATTTGCCTACAAAACAAAATAAACTTATGATGAATAACATGTCATTAATGAAATGGTTATACCTTTGAAAAAGAACAAAAGAATAACCCATTCTCAGTTGAAGAATAATGCAATAACATAACCAAATGCACGCAGTACATACTTCAGCTTCAGGAGCATAATATGGAGCAAATGCAGGAACAACATGCACCCGAGGCTGATCTTTCTCATCCCACACTTTCAAACGATCATCAATTACCAACGCCATCTTAGGATGGCAGATTCCATCTTGAAACACGTTGAACAATGATTTTCTTGAGCCTATTAGAAAGAGGGAATAGGTAAAATCAATACTTAGGATACATTATTTCAGACCAGCGTAGATAAAAGGTTTATGACAAGCAAAAGATCATAGGAACACATTTTTTCAGCTCTCATTTATCTGATGCAGGAAAGTGGAAGATATCTAACAGATTAACCAAGAAAGTACACACATTTATCTTCAAACTTACCAGCTTTGACACAAACAATACGATCCAATAGTGCTTTTGAGTTTATCAAGTTTGAGTCAGGATCAAGAAGCCTCCACATTTCTAAAGCATAATCTCTTTCAGCCATTGTGCAAACATAGACCTCAAAACGCTTTCGACCTCTTGCAGTCAGGTAGCTCCGTAGGTCCTCCCAAGCGGGTCTCAATCTCACAAGAACACTTGTATCACGAATCTAAGGAGACATAAAAGTTATATATATGTTATAGAACTTAACTAGGATCTAACAAGGGAAATTCAAAACCTGTTACATATACATACCAGCGGATTAATGCGAGTCAGGATAATGTTTCTGTCCTGTAATCTTATGACTGGGCGGACAATAGGTTGATGATTGTCAGACAAAGCTGGAACAACCTCATGCTGAGAATTCATCACCTTCCCATTTTCAACTACCTGATCGTTTTCCGCATATTGCTTCAGTATGATCTTGTCATCCTGATAACGCTTAACCTCTGCTAGTATACCAGAAATTCGTTGTGGATCTGTCTCAGTGTTAATTTTTCGCTGCAAGGCATCAATTCTATCCTCAAATGAGCGCATTGTGTTTGCAACTATGAGTGTTTCATCGAGATCAAATACAATGCCAAGACATCTAAGGTTGAGCAATGCAAGACAAGAATTGTAAAGCCCCAATGCAACTATGAATCCCCAGAAACATGGGGCGTGTTCACCATTCTTCCTAGAAGGCATGGCAACCAAATGGAGCTCCTCCCCGCCTAGTGACATTACTGCAGTCTGCACACACAGATATCAATATCACCACAGAAGTTTGGCAGAATTATCGGTACCAAGTGTGTAAGCTAGTATGAATAAGTGAATAAAAGATTATCGATTCATATTGATGTCTGCAGATGTGCATGTTACATATGACAAGCTATTGAGGAAAGGAAAGGTAAAAGATCAGAAATGCAAAAAAAAAAAAAAAATGTAAAAAGAATAATTGAAGAATTTATATTCTAATGCCCCAAATATCAAGGTAATACAAGTTACACAAGCTTATTCTTGAACCACGAATTTGGGTACATTTTGGTGGAGTAATAAAAAAAACTAAATTGTGCAAAATCTTTCTGAATCAAACCCAAGAAATATTGTTGAGACAATCTTCTCGAATTCCATTTCCAGTTTTTTTTTTTCCCCGCAACGTGAGGATAAAATTATTTAAACAAATTTTTAGGGCTTCTTAAATACACTATTTTTATTCTACATATATTCTTGAAGATCATAACCATGGCAAATTAAGATGTGCAAAGTATCATATTTCCAGTCCAGATTTGTGCTATAACATTAGGGTTCACTTCCAAATTTCACCGCAAAACTAATTTGTCCTAAGTATCATATTTTCAGTCCAGATTTGTGCTATAACATTATGGTTCACTTCCAAAATTCACAGCAAAATTAAGATTTCCAAAGTATCATATTTTCAGTCCAGATTTGTGCTATAACCATCAGGGTTCACTTCCAAAATTCACAGCAAAATTAAGATTTACAAAGTATCATATTTTCAGTCCAGATTTGTACTAAAACATTAGGGTTCACTTCCAAATTTCACTGTAAAATTAATATTGTCCAAAAGTACCATATTTTCAGTCAGATTTGTGCTATAACATTAAGGTTCACTTCCGAAGGTGTCCAAAGAAAGTATCATAATCTCAGTCCGGATTTGTGCTATAACAATAAGGGTTAAGATGTCCAAAGTATCAAATTTTCAGTATTATGCTATAACATTAGGGTTCACAGACAAAATTCACTACAAAATTAAGATGTCCAAAGTATCATATTTTTCAGTCCAGATTTGCGCTATAATCTTAGGGTTCACTGAAATATGTTCATTTAAATGTCCAGAGTCCTCTGTTACTGTTTTCCAGTTTCTGAAAGTTAAATTTAAGTTTTTTCAGTTGAAATTTGGTTTTTTTTTTTTTTTTTTTCTTTTTCTTCCTTCTTACTTTTGTGGTTGGAGTTGGGCAATACCTTGTTCTCTCTAAAGCATGATGAGTGCAAGAGGTACAGCTGCGAGTCTTGAGGTAGCGCTTTGGACTCCATTTTGAAGCAAACACCAGAGGAGGTAACAGTGTGAAGCACAGCAAGTGGTGGACACCTCTCACTCGGTTGCGAGAAGTGAGAGACCCGAATTTCTCTGACCCTCATGTCAACAACACCACCGTTCTGATTCTGATCTTGAGGATAAATCTCTACTTCTCCAACTAGTTTATTCCCTTCATACACAACCGATTCATACATATTTTCTCTGAAAAAAAAGTCAAATCTCTTTCTTTTGATTTTTGTTTCGGAATCAACGTGTACAGATCTATGATTTGTTTCCGGTTAAATTTCTGTTGAATTCGTCGTCTATTTTTGCAGATTTATACAGTACTACTGATCTGTTGTTGAGAAAGAAAAATTAGGGTTTTATAGATCTATGAATGAAAAAGCTTCGACGATGATGGATTGCTGAGTCGATTGGAATTGATGATAATCCGAAACAGTTCTGGCTAGGGTTGTTGGGGTGACGATGAACCAGTTGTCTCGAGTAAAAAAACCCTAGATCCAGAAAGTGAATGGGTCAACAGCAGTCTCTGTCACCTAACACGTCGATTTATATATAGATATTTAAATCTAAGATTCGGAAAATATTAGTGTGTGTAGGCTATGTAAAAAGTATTGCGTTTCCTCGTGTTTTAATCCAGTTTTAACACGTTACTGACGTATGGGTGATTAAGGTTAAAAAAAACAAGGGTATGGCTGGAAACAATCTTATGATATTTTATTTCAAAAACTAATAAGATATTAAAGGGTAAATAAGATATTTCACTTTTTTAAGGCTTTGTTTGGATCCAATTCTGACAGATGCTGTCAAACTTTTATCAATTATTGCAAATTAAGAAGGGTCCGCATAATTAACCCTAATTTTTGTAAGTTATTTTGAATTAATGCGGGGCTGGGGGACAATTCGTGTTCATAAGTCATAATCGTGTTGTATTGATTTAAGAGTATTGTATTAAAGAGTTCAATCCGAACCGATTCATTTAATGATCGTGTCAGATACTGTCGTATTGATTTAAGAGTATTATATTAAAGAGTTCAATCCGAACCGATCCATTTAATAATCGTATCAGATACCTTCAACACTAACTCAGCTTGTTTATTAAACAGGTTAAAGGTGTAACCCGTTTAATAACCTATTTAATAAAATAAAATATTATATTATTTAAATTATTAATAATAATAAATTTCAATCCAACCAAATTACTAAACAATTTATAATTTACAAAAGAATAAATTATAAGATATTATTTTGGAAGTTAAATAAAAATTTGTTTATGATACTTATAGTTAAATGGGTATAAACGGGTTACTCAAGTTGAACTTTCAACCCAAACACAACAAAATTAATTAAACGGGTTAATCATGTCGACCCGTTTATGATCCGAACCAATTTAAGGTCAATTCAAACCTAGTTAACTCGTGTCATATTGGTGAGTCGTCTCAAACTTTGCCTTCCCAACTCTCAACTTTGCCTTCCCAACTCTCAACTTTCTACTTTAGAAGGTAATAAGTATTACTGTACTAAATAATAATATTTGATGAAGAAAAAAAAAAATTCCTCTTTGGGTAACTCGGGCTCTAAAACTCTATATTAAATCATAAAAATTAGTAATTCAATAGTATTTTTTTACTTTCTAAATAGAAAGTCGGAGGACATCAAAGTGTTCTTTGGCCAACCAGGGGGCTCAGAATTGTATTAAACCATAAAAAAATTCACAGCCCCCTGGTTGGCCAAAGAACACTTTGATGTCCTCCGACTTTCTATTTAGAAAGTAAAAAAATACTATTGAATTACTAATTTTTATGATTTAATATAGAGTTTTAGAGCCCGAGTTACCCAAAGAATTAACACAACAATTGTTTTCTTGTAGAGTAGTGCAATTCAATGGCCGCGCCATCCAGGGTCAGCATTTTAAATCAGGCTCATTGCAGTCCCCAAAGCTATGAGTCAGAGGCCAATTTTGCTAGGGTCGTTACTTCTAAAAAGAAAGGTCCATTGCATTGGGTATCAATATCAGTTCCATATAATTAATCCCTAAATTTAGGGTTTGGACTGCAAAATTTTGATAGGGAACTGCAATTAAAAAATTGAGAGAAAAAAATAAAATAAAAATATATATTTGTAACCATTGTCATTGGATATATATATAAATTATATATATATATATATATATAGAACTGCAATTAAAAAATTGAGAGAAAAAAATAAAATAAAAATATATATTTGTAACCATTGTCATTGGATATATAATATATATTTGTAACCATTGTCATTGGATATATATATATATATATATATATATATATATATATATATATATTGACTTGGCAATGGTTAGAGAGTTTAGATGTTAGTAGAGTTAGGGAGTTTAGATGTTAAAGGTGGAGGGAAAATGATACCGGTGGGTTACGAACATGAACCAAAAATCCCAAACAAATACACGCTCTACCCCTGAGCTAACATCGCACCTACATTGTCATTGGATATCTCATCATCTCCAAATAGCCCATAAAACATCCTTGAATTTTTTTCTTAATGTGATGTTATAATCTCCCGTAAAGTAATATTGGGTCCATTGTATCATAAGTATATAAAATTAAAAAACAAAAATAAAAAGGACACACGACCTTTTAATCGGTTAAACATTTCCAAATTACAACCTTTTATATTAGAAGGTGAAGAATTACCACCAGACACAAGGGGTTGGTATGGATAAGATTAATGAGTTATCACAAAGAGATCAGTATAACTTTATTTAATTAATAAGTAAATCAATAATTTAATATTCAGATAACACCTATGGACTAATGATTTTTTTTATAGTTTTAAGGGTTTTTTGTTGCATAAACTTAATAGTTCATTTTTTTTTTTTTTTGTACCCCTTATAATATTAGAGCATTACAATGGGGTGAAGCATGTAATAGTCACAAAAGCTGAAATATTAGTCATGCGCAATGCACATAACAAATTTCTATTACGCTTTTAATAGAATAATACTAGGGGAATATTATCTTTTATATAGTTTATAGTTTCTTTTATCAACAGTTTAGGGTTTTATTTTAAGGGGTAAAATCACATAAGCCCTTCTACTTTTAAATTTGTGCAAAAAAAAACCCCAATAAAATTAAACAACTCCTTCAACTAAAAAAATTATCACATTATCCCCATTTCCGTCTGAATCTGCTAAATCGGTGTAAATTGACAAATTTAACCTTATTATGTAATGTGAAATTTAAAAACGTATTAATTATTATTTTACAAATTACAATTATAACTTTGGGAGGTCCATTCAACTAATTGGTAAGGCGTCAAAACAATTTTTCCCTTTTTTTCTATAAAAACCCCGCTCAAATTGCAAAAAATGAATGGTGATTCATCTTCCAGAGCCTTCGTCTTCAAGTTTTCTCTATATTTATTCCTAGACGAACAAAAAATTGGTGTTAGTTTCGCCTTCATGTTAATATTCAGTTCTGTTCTTGAAAGTAAACAGATATGTTCTTTTTCTGATAAATTGGTTCCATTTGTGAAATACAAACAAACAAATATGCAGCTTTGGGAGGTTATAGATGGATGAAAATAGAGCCGATTAAGCAACGTGAACGGTCTTATAATTGACAAATGGACTCGATTGGGTCAAAACTCAATGCAACAAACATGGGTTCTAAGTGGGTCGAGCCTGTCAGAATCGCCATATAGGTTATAGGTGGGTCAGGTCTATTGGAATCCCCACATACTGTTTCATCACCAGATTACAAACGTTACTTTTTAGGAACATAAGACGTCAAAATGAATAGTAACAGCCCGTTACAACACCTGAATATCTAACGGAGTAGGCTGAAACGACAAAACATCTGAATACGACTTCACAAATTCAACACCATCATTTGTTGTCACGACTGGTATAGAGAATACTTCATAAAATGATTCCGATCGGGATCCAAAAGGCTGGATACTTCAAAGAGAAAGTTGGGGAGAGGCGTCGAAACACAAATGTAAGAAATCAAACAGCACCAAACTTTTAGGGGTGCACAAAAGAATCGGAACCGTGGATCGAGAATTGGAACCGTGAGAACCGGAACCGTTTTTCACGATTCCGGTTCAGGTTCCGAATTTAGGAACCGTATACATACGGTTCCGGTTCCGGTTCGTGGGAACCGGTAGGAACCAAAAACGTATATATATATGTGTGTGTGTGTATATATATATATATATATACATAATATATGTATTATATATTTAATTTTATAATTAAAAAAAAAAAGTAAAGCCTAAAGAGATAAGGCTGGCTGGACCGTAATCACCGTGTGGCTTAGACAATAGACACGTAAACATTTATTTTGCCCTAAATCAGTAAATATCTCACTCTCTCAAATCCCAATCTCATTATTTCTCATCTATACAGAATTACAGACGAAGTGACGATTGACGAACCCTAAGCGTTCATCACCTTCACTTCAGTCGTCTCCTTTCAGCCTTCTCAGGCTCTCATCTCCTCAGTCTTCATCGCCCTCGCCTGAGTGACTGAGTCGCCTCCTCTCAAGTCTTATCTGAACTCTGAAGCTTTCTCGTCGATGCAGTCCTCGTCGTCCTAGCCATCTCAAATTTCATCATTAATCGTCTCCGATCTGAGATTACTTGGTAAGTCCTTGATCGATCTGTCACTCCCATCTCAGATTTCTCATCACTCATTCATCCTCACTCCCATCTCAGATTTCTGAGTCAAGTGAATTCTCCAAACTTCTCAGACAGCGACATGGTCGCACGGCTTCTCCGATCACCCACGCACCATCTCAGTCAGCGACACGACTTCTCCAGCTTCATCATCTTCCTCGATCAAGCTTGTGAAGGTAATTTTTCTTTTTCTTTTTTTCCAGTAATTAACAAAAAGTTATTTGTTGTTATTTTTAAAAATATATATATTTTATGAAAGTTCAGCTAAAAAATTATTTTTATAGTTGGTTGTAAACAATTTTTTTTTTTTTTTTTTTTTTGAATTCTTGACTCTTGAGAGTTAGATTTTAGAAAAGTAAACCATATGGATATTAAATTTTTCTGACACTTAAATTTGGGATCATCCAATACATTTCCAATGTCAACATAAATTCATGCATAGGCAGAACCGTAGAAGTGTGTCCCATCGAATTTTTTTTCTTAAATTTAAGTGAAACATAAACAAATTGTTAAGTATGTTCCAATATTAAGAGTCTAAAATTGATGTTCATGTACGGCATATATCAATCTAAGGTGCAAGAGTTCATTCTTTTATTTGTTCCATATATTTGCATCAGGTTGTTTATGAAAATAGGTTTCAGATTTACATTTTACAGTGTTCATTCTTTATTTGTTCCATATATTTTCATTTGCACCTATTTTGATAACATAATTAGGTTTCAGATTTACATTTTACAGTGTTCATTCTTTTGTTTGTTCCATATATTTTCATTTGCACCTGTTTTGATAACATAATTAGGTTTCAGATTTACATTTTGCAGTGTATCCTTGTTGAATCAAACTAAATTTACTTGAAACTAAATTT